AGGTATGTCAAAGTTTATAAATCTGCAGTTAAGTGCTCAAAATGATTAGTTGAGAGTGCCTTCATTGTAAAATCTTTTCATAAACTGTGGTAGCCAGTTGCCCCTTATGTGCCCATAGTAGACATTGCTTATCAAGCATAAACTCCTGTGAATTCTCGGTACTGACATTTCAAACAGCCATTACAGCTTATCAGAGAAGGGAAATTGTTGAGGAATATGAGTAAATTAAGGCTGCAGAAACCTAATCTCCCTTGCTCCTCCTACTTCGGAGGTGTACTGTTCAGACCCAATTGGAATGAATCAGAAAACTTTTGAATCTGCCCCTCTCGTCATTTTTTGTCCAGGGATATGAATTTTGTTTTCAACAATCTCATTGTTCCTTTAATTATTCAAAATAGTTGCTTTCAATAGGTTTCTCTTTTCCTTTGTTTCTTTTTTTGGCAGTAATGCTTAATTGATTGAATGGTGAAATTGGGTAACTAGATTTTTTTGAAAGCATAGTTTATGCCATAGGGTCTAGATTTGCCCAGTTTTACCCTATGGTAAGATCATTTGGCCACCTGATGTGAAGAACTGACTCATTGGAAAAGACCCTTATGCTGGGAAAGATTGAAGGCAGGAGGAAAAGGAGACAACAGAGGATGAGATGGTTGGATAGCATCACCAACTCAGTGAACATGGGTTTGAGCAAGCTCCAGGAGCTGGTGATGAAGAGGGAGGCCTGGCGTGCTGCAGTCCATGGGGTCGCAAAGAGTGGGACACGACTGAGCAACTGAACTGAACTGACGATCATGGTGTATTACATGATAAGATCAGCTCACTTCCTATAGTTATAAATATAGGAGCCTTTGGTAGGGGTACCCTGGTGATGGGAGAAGACATATGAAGATAGGAAATTTTCATTCAGGACCTGCTGACATTTGAATGTGGATGTGTCTGACCCCTCCTGTGTGGTGGACCTGGTCATCAGTGATGCCTTCATTGTCAGTGTTTATGTAGCTTGGTTCCCTTTGTAATGTCCACTCAGTCAGAGACCAGCTGCTTTCTCTTCTAGAAGGCCTTTCCTGAAGCTCCTGCAGTTTTGCAAGATCCTTGTGGGTCCATTTTTGGGGTAAGGGCCAGAGGGGCCTATGTGTCATGGCTCTGCGGGTGCCCTCTCTCAGCTGAGAGAGCAATTGGTGGCCAGGATCCTAGGGCACTGGACCAGTTGTTGAGGGCTGGTGGAAGACTGCCTTTGCAGAGGCAGTCTTCTCTAGGAGAATCCCTTCCAGGGCAGCCATCCTTTCTCCCATCTGAACTCCCCTGAGGCTTGGAGTAGGAAAGAGGGAAGCTTGAAATCTGTTATTGAAAAGACTGTGCTCTTTGATTTGGTTTCTCCCCTCTAAGATGGAACTGATGGCAGATAATCTCAGAGATGGCGAGCCTAAAAGGAGAAGGTAAAATAGAAGCCCTGTGGGGTCCCCGACAGAGCTCTTAGAGCCTTTGTCATTCCCCTGGGGCAGTATTGATGTAGAGGAGGATACCTAGGATCTACCCTCAGAAGCTCTTAGTCCTGTGGGAGTTGCAGGCTTGTAAACAAATCATTGTGATGCTGCATGGTAAGTGCTTTGATAGAAGCTTTGTCCAGTGCTTTGAGGGCTCCAAGAGCAAAGAAGCTGCAAGCCCTGGGCTGTTGGGGATGCTTTCCATATTTGGTCTGCCTAGGATGTCCTTTGACACTACTCTTTCCAGAAATCTTGGAAGTCCGCCCACAGACCGTGGTCCTTCCTCTCCTAGAGTGGGAGCATGCTGATTATTTATTGCTCTGTATGTCCCATCCGCTCCACCCCACCCCACCCCATAGTTTGGCGTCCTGTTCCTCACTGTGCTCCTTTTGGTACCCAAGGCCTCTGCCTTCAGAGGGTTCCAGTGCTTGATGAGTGAGGAATTTCATCTGGAATGCTTTCCACTAACTCGGGTTTCATCTGGATGTGCCTGTAAATGTTGATCTAAATCTTTTCCCCCATTTTATGAGTAGACTTTCAGTAGTAGCCCCTGGTCTGAACCTACAGCCTGTTGCTTTTCTTTGATGGGCATCATCAACAGATACAGGGAGTTGAAAGCATTAAAAAAAAAAAAAAAAAACAAGCAAACCTTAGTGGAGGCCTTACCTGCCAGTTGGTCCTGGGGACAAGGCTTTGTTACGAAGTTTCTCCGTAAATACCATGGGCCCCTCTGTAGCTACAGGTTTCTGTGGTCACCACAGAGCACAGCCTCACTATTTCCTGTGGCTTCACCGGCTACAAAGCCTAGGGTAGCCCAGTTCAGGGATGAATAGATGCTCCTGCTGCACACAGCTGTTTCCCTCTCCCTGATTGTGTTTACTGGTCTCCCTAAACACCTCATTCCTTTGGGCCTTGCTTTTTCTAGCACCTCAGTCTCCCAGAGACTACATGGGAAAATAGAGCAGGGATGCACAAGCAGTCCCACCCACCTTCAGCCTAATCTGATTGATTCTATAAATGACCCCTTCCACTCTCCCACCTGTTTTTTGTGTAAACCCACTGGAAAGTACTTAAATCCTAAATTTGTCAGTTTTCAAAGAAAAATGGTACTGTGCATCACTGACTTAGGTCTGGCTCTGGCCTCGCAGAGGCAGCAGGTATTTTTCCGCTGTGCTTAGGATAATTTGAAGGTCCAGATTTTCTTTTACTGGTGCTCGGAAGACTTACCTTTGGGTGTGCTCCTGCTGTTAGCAGAAGAGCTGAGAAACAGTCTCAGTCCAGCTTCCAGCTGAGGAAGAATGAAGCAGTAGGAGAACTCAGAGGCTTGCCAGTGATGAAGAATGCCTCCTGGGAGGCGTGGGCTATGATGTGGGACATGATACAGGAACTTGTTTATTCAGCAGTTTGACATAAACCCCAGGTCAGAGATTCTCAGCCCTGCTGTACTCCAGGGTCACCTGTGGAGTAAAGCGTGCACGTGCCCAGGCCTTTACTCACGGTTTGGACTCAGTAGCTCTGGAGTGGGGTTTGGAGAGCTGTGTCTTTTTGTTTCCTTCTTGCTTTTTTTTTTTTTTAAAGAGAGTTGTATTTTAAGAAGCTCCTTAGACGTTTCTGATGCTGAGCCAGGTCTTAGCAACACTTAACAAAGCACGGGGCTCTGAAAACAGGAGTGATCCCCATCTGCCCCTTCCCTCCCATTCCAGGGTGGGGAGAGAAAAAAAAACAACACAAACGGTCATGATAATAGGCACAAAGGAGGGCTGTCCTGGAAGGATCAGAGAAGGTTTCCCAAAAACCAGATGCTGCCGTGGGAGTCTGTGTTCCCCAGGCAGGGCACCTGCTGCGGGAGGGAGCGTCTGTGTAGCTGGAGGCTTTGTGGTGGGGCGGGCGGTGGGGCAAAGCAGAAGCCCACAGACCCCAGGGAGGACTTTAAGGGTTGGACTTGAAGGGCTTTTCTGTTTCCTCTCACATCACTGAAGAGCCAGCAAGGAGCCCCAGAGGAGAATGGGGCTTGTGTAATGGAGTTTTGTTCCTTTTCAATTTTAAGTTTCTGAACTTGATGTTTTTGTTGTTTCAGAGTGTAATAAAAATATATATTTGGTCTTTGTCCCTGGCAGACAGTTTCTGAAACCCTTGGAATTTCCTGAGTGGTAAGGTTGTTAGGAGTATCTTTTGTTCTAACGAGGCAGCTCTCAGTGGGCCCCTTGATCGCTTCAGGACAGAGGCTGGCCTCCAGAAAGATGGAGACCTGCTTAGCTTGTTGGAACTTGCAACCCCACTTGCAACCCCCACTCTTTGCCCTGGACCTCCAGGGAAAAAAGAGGATCTAGAGATTAAGCGATTATCATCTGTGGCCAGTCATTTGATCAATTATGCTAGGTAATGGACTCCATAGAAACCCTTATACAGTTGAGTTTGAAGAAATTTTGGGTTGGTGAACACATCCATGTACCAGGAGGGTGGTGTTAGCATACCTTTTCTCCATACCATGCCTTATATATCTCTTCTATTTGGCTGTTCTTGAGTTGTATTGTTTGTAATAAATTGGTAATAATAATAAATAAAGTGTTTTCTGGAGTCCTGTGAGCTACCCTAGCAAATTATCTAACTTGGAGGGAAGGTCCTGTGAACCCTCCATTTTATAACCTGTTGTCAAATGAATAGGAAGCCTAGGACTTGAAATTGTTCTCTGAAGTGAGGGCCGCCTTGTGGGACTGAGCCTTTAACCGGTGGAGTCTGTGCCAGCTCTAGGTAGGCAGTGTCAGAATTGGGCTGTCAGACACCCAGTTCGTGTCTCGAGAGTTGGAGAATTGGTTGGCATGAGGAAAAAACCTACACATTTGAAGTCACAATGTTATGAATAGAAACAGTTCAGACAGAGTGATTATTTTTCTTTTCTTCCAAGTCTTTATGGCTTTATTAGACATCAGACTCCGAGACAGACCCCTGTGTTGACTTTCTTGGTCCCAGCCCATTGGGGGTGTCTACCTGCCCTGGAGGCACGAGACTGTCATAGGCCAGGTGGACACCCTTTGTTGACCATTGAACCTCTCTAGGCCTGTGTCTTCCACTGTAAAGTGGGCATAATACTGCTCGCTTCACAGGGTGTTGAGAGGGCTGATGGAGAGCAAGGATATGAAAGAATTTTAGAAACTGAAGTTACTCTTTGGCTGTGTGGGGTTATGATATCTGGGAAATATGCCTTTTTTATTTGGTATTATCTAGAGGTTATTGTCTATGATACTGTCTCAAAACACCTGGTCTGGGGTGTAAAGCAGTCTTGCCTAATAATAGAAACCACCAGGCCCTCCTCCCTTACTTTGTTTACCATGCAGACTTAAAAGGCATAAAACTATGAAGGAAGTCTCTGTATAGACTTAATTGTTTCCTCTAAGAAGAAGCAGCTTTCTGGTTTCTCCAGGACCTCCTTTGTTCCCAGTATTACCACAACTCTACTACTACCACAGGCTACTGTTGATATCCAGATCTTCTTAATATTGCAGTTTTTATTTGCAGGCTCAATGCCAGACCAGGAGTGGGAGGTGTCCGATCTCGTGTTGGGATCCAACAGAGCCTTCTTAGCCAGCCAGCACGCACAGCCACCTTCCAGCAGAGGTTTGATGCCCGGCAGAAAATTGGTCTCTCAGATGCCCGCCTCAAGCTGGGAGTCAAGGATGCCAGGGAAAAGCTTTTGCAGAAAGATGCTCGGTTCCGGATCAAAGGGAAAGTGCAGGATGCCAGAGAGATGCTGAACTCGCGCAAGCAACAGAGCACAGTGCCCCAGAAGCCCCACCAGGTCGCTGATGCCCGGGAGAAAATCAGCTTGAAGCGGAATTCCCCTGCTGCCTTCATGAGCCCACCCATTGGAGCAGTGACCCCTGCTCTGAAACTCACTAAAACCATCCAGGTAGGTTGAGACTCCTGCCAAAAACTCCTCTAAACCAGTAACAACTGGAATCAGGCAGAGGCCAGGTGTGTTTAAGCAAAATGACAGTCCCCCCAACTGTTTGAAGAGTAACCATATGTGGAGGCAAAATATCGTCTCAGTTTTCGTGTAAAAGAAAATGGGCGGGGTGGTGGGGATTTGTCCAGAGAAATTAAGTGACTTTCCAGGTGAATTAGTGGTAGAGGGAAGAGAAGAGAGGACAGATATTTGTTGAGCTAGTGCTATGTGCTGGCACTGAATATTTATTCCTCATGCAACCCCAGTTATTACCACAGTTTATAATAGAAGAATCTCAGTCTCAAAGATGTGAATCATTGTGTGCAGCTACACAGCTGGTCAGTGGAAGCAACAGGATGGAAGTCCAGTCAGACCTGGCTCTTAGTGCAGAGCCATTGCCCCAAAGGGAGTGGAAACAGTACCATCTAATCTTCACAGCAACTTTGGTAATAGGAACTACTGAAGCAGTGAACATTTATTAAGCCAGGTTCATTGAGCCCTGCAGGTGCATTGTTACATGATCTCTGGGATGGTGAGTCTTCCTGTCGCTTTCCTGCTTTGCGAATGAAGCACTCTGTAGGGCCTTTTCCCACAGACCAAAACTGAGTGCCCACCATATTTAAAGTTCATTTATCCCCTACTTGTAGAGAACGCATGTAGGCCAAGTGGGATGAATTGTGACCACTGGGTGTTTCTAGGTTCCACAGCAGAAGGCCATGGCACCAATTCATGCTCATCCTGCTGGAATGAGGATCAATGTCGTCAATAACCACCAGGCCAAACAGGTGGGGTGTGTGTGTGTGTGTGTGTGTGTGTGTGTGTGTGAGTGAGAGAGAGAGAGACTGCACACAAGTGTGTGTTTTGATGTGGTCTTCCAAGTGGATTAACTGAGGCCTGGCCCAGGGTTCCAATTTGAAGAGTTGGAGGTTGACACGTTTTGCAGTTTATGAGTTTTAAGAAGAAATTTCTTAAATGCATGGAAGCAGAGAGGCAAATTGAAAATCTTTTTATTTTTTTAAAGTAAAAGTAGTGTGTGTTTACTGTAGAAAATTAGCAAAACAGAAAGATTGGGGGTGGGGGTGGGGGTAGTTCTTATGCTGTGGCTCTCCATAACGAGCCCTGTTGAAATTCTGCCCTGAATTCTTCCTATGTTTTTCTTGTGTGTGTGTGTATGAGAGAGAGATTATTATTTATTTAATGCATAGCTGTAGTTGTGATTATGTAATTATCCAGTTTGATATTGTTCTATTTTCACTTTATAACTCAAGCATTTTTCTGTAATGCACATTTACTGTAAACATCTTAATAACTGCTTGATCCATTGAATAGACATTTAGTTAATTTCAACTGTTTTCCTGTAATTTTCACTGTTAGACATCCTTCTCTGAACATCTTGGAGGATAAAGCTCTTTCTACAGTTTGAGTTTATTTCTGTAGACCAGATTGCCCAGCACAGACTTTCTAACCAAAGGATATAAACAGGCATTTTAGGGATCGTAATAGATATTGCCCACTTGTAGAAAGGTACTTCTGATGTACCTGAAATTTCATAGCATTTGCATTCGGCTCTCATGGGCAGGGAGCCTGCCAGAACTGAGCTACAGTCACCCAGGCCAGTTTGCCCAGGCACTCCATATGTACCCACTTCTCCCTCCACCTCACTTAATTCCAGCTCTCATCTCCCTGCTGTCCTTACTCCAAATGTCTGCTGAGAGCCTGCATGCTACATTAGCATGTATTTCTTTCTTTTCAGAATTTATATGATCTGGATGATGACGACGATGTTATAGCTCCCATTCCTACTAAACAGATGAAATTTGCAGCCTCAAGCAGCTTTCTCCACCACATGGTATGTTATCTTACATTCTTCTTACACTCTATATGTCTGATCAGGTACATGGGAGACGTGATGGAGAGTAGGATCTTTCAATTCGGAAATATTTCCTCATTTGGGTCCTAAGATTATCAGAACCGGAACTAATCCAACCCCTGGTTTTTATGAATACTGAGGCTTAGCATGTCTACAGATTTGTTCAAGACCCGACAGACAGTGAAGTGCAGGCTCTAGTTCCCAATTGCTGTGTTTGGAGACTTCAGGGAAATGTGAGTGATCCCACAGGACAGAATCACATTTTATTTCCTTTAGGGCAGGACATTCTGCTGGTTCCCTTTCTTCTGTGGTCATCAGCTCTGGCCCCATTCTTGAATCTGGATTCCCTTGGTTGGTGTGTTAGCAAGAATAAACTGAACCTTTCCTGAAAGCTCCACCAGGTGCTGCCTGCGTGGAGGGAAAGTTTGATGGATGTTCTGCCATGCAGAGAGGGAAAGAAAGCGGTATATCTGGGAACATCAGGGAACTCTGCACTGCTCGGCTCAGTGCATGCGACCAAATCACACATAGGAAGCAAGTGGGTACCCAAGCTAAGTGCCTTTGGTCTTCAGGCACCCAAAGACTCAGTTTTAGCCACTGCACTGAATATGTGGACCAATTTCCGGTTACCTTTGAAGCTTTTAACTTTGAAATATGAAGCTGAATGATGCCAGTTTGTTACAAAGGGGCTGAGCCTTTCTAGTCATTAGAGTGCTTGTGTCTGTTACCAGGCGGGCTGTCAGCTAACTCAGTTAGTGGCTAACCCTAATTGGAAAAATCTGTTTATATTAACTTATTTAAGAGTTCCCTTTCTCCCCACCCTGTGAGATGAGTACTGTTACTACCCCTATTTTATGGACTAGGAGTTAGACACAGAGAGGTTAAGTAAATCTGCTCAGCTTGTAAGTAGTGGATCTAGGATTTAAGCCTCAGCAATCTGGCTCCCAGGCCACGTTTTAACCACTGCATTCTGCTGGGTCTTGAGACTCAGGAAACAGCTTGAGAAGTGTGGGGTCCACACTGAGTCACCTGGGTTGGTGAATTAACCCTGTTCCATCATCTGTCTCTCTGGCCGCTGCATTCCTTCTTTCTCCATGAATCAGTGGCTGGTAGACACTGTCCTCAGTCAACCAGACCACTAACCACTTCTGCCTCATGCATTTTTTTTTCTCCAGACACATTAAAATCAGGCGGTGTGCTGGTTTATATTTCTAAGGGATCACTTGCCCAGTTAAGGGTAGCAGGGGAGGGAAGGAGGGAACGGTTTCTGTTGGTTTGCACGTGCTGACTCTGCTAGCATGCACCTGACCTTCTGGGAGTTGCAAAGGTGAGCTACTTGTGGTTCCTCTATATGACCAGAACAGGGACCAAAAAGCTGGGGTCTGGTCCTTCTTAAGAGTGACTTCCTAGTCCCATCCAGCCCATGGTGATAGAAGCATATCTGGGAATGAACTTGTCTCCAAGCTTTTGGACTCTGACTAACTTTCCAACTTTTAAACCCATTTTTAATTGTTTTGGTTGGGTTTTGGTTCTTTTTGGGAACTTGCGGGGTTGTTCTTTGCCAGTTGTTCTTGCCCTTGGACGTTGGTTTTTTTGGGCCGTTTTCCGTTTTGTTTTTCTCTTCTCCTGTCCCTTCCCTGGCAGCTGATACCTTTCTGGCTTTAGATCAGTAATGGAACTGGGGAGGTAGGAGGCCTTGAGATTGGGGATCGTCAGTCCCCTAGGGTATCTGGGTCCCTGGCTTCTCAGATTCCTGTCTGCCTCTTTGTTTAGGCCGGGGTGAGCAGTTCCAAGCTCTCCATGTCCAAGGCCCTTCCTCTCACCAAAGTGGTTCAGAATGATGCGTACACTGCTCCTGCTCTCTCCTCCTCTGTTCGGACAAAAGCCTTGACCAACATGTCCCGGACATTAGTGAACAAGGAGGAGCCCCCCAAAGAGCTGCCGCCTGCAGAGGTGAGGTGAAGGCGAAGGAGAAGTGTTCACACTAGTCTAGAGTTAGCCTGAGCTGGGTGGGCAGTGTGCATCCCGTTGGGTCCTCAATGGGAGGACCTCTGTGCATCTGTGAGGTAGGTGTTGCCACCCGTGTTTTACAAATGAGCAAACCAAGATCCAGTAGCCCCCGCCCTCAGAGAGCCCACAGGCAAGCAAGTAGGGAGAACAGAGCTGCAGACAGAGCACTGTGTCTGTGGGACAGCAGAGGGCTGCCAGAGCACTGATGGAAGAACATCTCATTCCGCTGGGGAAGTAGAGGAAGGCTTTAAGGAGAAGGTGCATCTGAGCCAGATGGGTCTTGAAACATGAGTGGCATTCTGTGCAGAGGTTCAGGCCTGAAAGGGCCTGGAATATTTGGGAAACATGAGAGGTTCCATTCCGTAGCATAAGGTGACGGGGACATGATTAGAGGGGCCCAGCTGTGATAGGAAACCCTCCATAGAGGTTTCCTCTGGGCCTTCCTGGTCGTTTGCCGAAGTGAGTTCTGCTGTTCGAGCACAGTGGTTCTCTGGTAACGTTCTGTTGTCTGGTAACTTCTGGTAATGTTCTTCTATCTGTGGCAGCCTGTCCTCAGTCCTTTGGAAGGCACCAAGATGACCGTGAATAATCTGCACCCTCGAGTCACCGAGGAGGACATTGTTGTGAGTACTGTGGCCTGCCAGAATTTCAGATCTCAAGCCACTTCTGTTCCAAGGGTCCCCAAGACCACCTCCAGGTTAGCTGATTGTCTAAGAGGACTCACAGGACTTAGCATAGAGTTGTGTCAGGGCTGAGATGCATTACAGAATACAAAGCAAAATCAGCAGAGGGAGACAACTTGTGGATGAAAAGCTAGAGGAAAGCAGACTCAAACTTCTGGAGTCCTCTCCTAGGGGAGTCACACAGAATGTACTTACTCCCCCAGCAATCAGTTGTAAAGACATGTGTAAAACCAGGGAATCTCATTACAGACTCAGTCCCCAGAGTTTTTCTCAGGGACTAATCACATATGCACCCTCTGCCACATACCAAAATTCCACACACAGAAGGAAATCAAGTGTTTGGCATGAACCACATTGTTGGCACAGTTTAGGCGCAGGGTACCACTGTTACTGGTTACAGTGATGAGAGCCCTCCCAGAATCCAAGATCCCAGACACGAGCTAAGGGTCAACCTTGGAAGCAGTCCTTCCAAGGGAGAGCAGACAGGCCAGATACGTTAACCCCTTTTCCTCATAGCCTGTAAACTAGAGCCAGGGGAATTCCCTGGTGGCCAGTGATTAGGACTCGGAATTTTCACTGCTGGGGCCAAGCAGGGTTCAGTCCCTGCTTGGAAAACTAAGATCCCACATGCTGCACAGCATAGCCTAAAGTAGATCTTTAAAGACAATAATAAAATTAGGATCATACTTAGTATTCAGTTTTGTGTCTTGGTTTTGATATGTACCATTTTCCCTTTTATCGTTGGAAATCATTTCAACGACCTTTTCACAAATCTTCTCTTTGTCCTCATTACAACCTTGTGAAGGCAGTTGCAGGTGAAGAAATGGTATGGTTGTTAGCCTTTGCAGTCTGTATCCATGCTGTGTTCCCTCTCTGACTTCAGTCTCTTCATCTGAGAAATGAGGAATTGGAGTAAAGGATGATGACGACACGTGTACAAAGCACTGCCTTGAAAATGGTTTCAGTTGAAACCCCTCAATCTAGCCAACCAGGATGATTGGTCACCCTGCATTGAACTGTGGAATTTGTGTTTCTGACTGATTCCCGGGTGATATATTAGCCACTGTTTGTACATCCATGTGGACATCCAGTGGAGCCTACATGTCCATCCATTTTCATGACACAGCACTCTTGACAGCAATTCCATATTCCCTTATCCTTGTTAAGGAAGTGGGCACTGAGGCAGGAGGACTTTGGAGTTGACTTGGAATCATAGGGATCCTAGGCTTATGAGCCCAGCACAACTCGTTCCCTCATCTGGCCCCAGGTTGAGGCCTCTGGATGTCCCAGGAATACTACCTGACATGGAGCCTTCCTGAAATCTTGGCTGCTTGGCATGTTCAATCAGAGTGAAGCCACCTGTCAACCCAGAGCCCTGTCTGAAGTATGTGAATTGCAGGCAGGGAGGACGACCGCGTGAAATTCTTCCCCAACTCAAGCCCTCTTGCTCTTCATAGGAGCTTTTTTGTGTTTGTGGAGCCCTGAAGCGAGCTCGGCTGGTCCATCCTGGGGTAGCAGAGGTGGTGTTTGTGAAGAAGGACGATGCCATCACCGCATATAAGAAGTATAATAACCGGTGTCTGGATGGTAAGTCAGAGAAAGCAGCCTCCTCACCTCGATGCTCTTTGCCACACACAGCAGGCCTTCGGGGGAAGCCCTCTTCTGGGACGAGTGGGTGGACATCCTAGTGCCTTAAACTCTCCAGGGCCTCCTGTGTACTAAAAACAAGCAGTGATGTTTCATTTTTAGTTGAAGTGTGGTTGATTTACAATGCTGTATTAGTTTCAGATGTACAGCACAGTGATTCAGTTATATATATCTTTTTTTCAGATTCTTATCCCTTAAAGGTCATTACAGAATACTGAGAAGTTCCCTGTGCTATGTTATGCAGTAGATCCTTGTTGGTTATCGCAGCCTTTTGATTGTATTATTTAATCCATTTACATTTTATGTGGCCTTTTTTGCATTATATAAGTATTTTTTAGTGTAGCATTTTAGTTCCTTTAATGATTTTTTCCACTGTATTTTTTGAGTCACTTTTCTTAACAGTTGCTCAAGGATTTATAGTATATATTGTAGGTTATCAGAGTCTATTTCAGATTAATATTAATGTAGCTACAGTGAAGTTTAGAAATGTTACTCTAATAAGGCTCTATTCCCACTTACCCCTTTTTTGTGCTGTTATTGTTATACTTACTACATAAAATGCAAAGTGAGAGTCTGGTACTTGTGAGGTTAATCTTTCATGGACAAAGTAGAAATCTGAATATACACTTTGGAATTTTTTTTCACTTAATTTTGTATCATGAACATTTTCCCTTTCTACTTGTTTCACAACCAGTTTGGGTTGTTTCATGCTGTGTTTACTTTCTCCCTTACTTTGATTCTGGTCTCCTCTTGCATGAAGAAGGGTCTTTTGCCAGTTTGCTTCTTGACACTGTCATTACCAGAGTTTCGTGGGCCTCATAACCCTCATTGTCTCTGGGCTTTGCTGAGACCTGACAGCCCCAGCACTGGCTGTGAAACAGAGCTGCCAGCGGTGGGTGCTTTGCCTCCTGGTAATGAAAGTGGCAGTCCCTTTCCTTCCATGTGAGGAGCTGAGGGCTCATGGCAGAGCTTTTTCTTTTTTGGTTTTTCAGGGCAACCAATGAAGTGCAACCTCCACATGAATGGGAACGTTATCACCTCAGACCAGCCCATCCTGCTGTAAGTTCCAAAGGCAGAGGTGCTGGGGGCCATGTGGGGCTTTGCTGCTTGCTTACTGGGCATGATCATCTCTGTTCAGAGGGGTGAAATGCCTGCATCACAGCTCCATTCCATTTCCTCTGCTCTGAGAGCAGGCAGCCGACTAGGAAACTTAAATTTGTACAGAGTGGGTTGTTACATCATTTCTTCAGGAGATTGACCCCACAGGGGCTAACTTAACCTCATTCCCTGACTTATAATTTAGAAAGTAGAGAGCACGCTGGTTGTGTCCCTGTTGGCACGATTGGGTGTGCATCGTCAGATGAGCAGAAAACCCACCTCCTCATGATTGACTCTGATGGGGACTGTGTTGGGTGCTCCCCCTTGTTTTGTTACACACCCAGTGTACATGCCTGGCCCAGGACTGAGGACTTCTTGAAGCCTGAGATGCAGAAAATGTCTAGATTGATATGTAAAAGAAGGTCCTTTTGAGGAGGAGACAGAGACCCAGGGAGAATAAAGACTGCAGCTTGAACCCTCGATATTGAATTGTGTGGTTTAAATAAGTTTCTTAAACTGTGTTCCAGGATTAAGTTGTATTCTGAAAAATGAGGGTTTTATGACCTAGTGGATTTGGGAACCACTGGGCTCGACCCAGTAAAATCTACTGGACTTTTCAGAATGTGTGATATGCTGTGTGTTTGGCTATTCTTGAGGCTTAAACTTAAAACTCCAGATCTTAGTAGGCTGCATCTTGACTTTCTTAGCAAATTTAAAGAATGGTTAAGTTTGCTATAAGAAATGGGGTAAAAGGGTATGGAAAGCATTATGTTTGGTGCCTAGCTTATAACAGATCTCCAGCTAATGGTGGGACCCTTCTCCACTGAAAGGGGACCCGACGAGGATTTTGACTCTTCTCTGGTCTCTACAGACGGCTGAGTGATAGCCCCTCAGTGAAAAAGGAGAGTGAGCTGCCTCGCAGAGTGAATTCTGCTGCCTCATCCAACCCTCCAGCCGAAGTGGATCCTGACACCATCCTGAAGGCGCTTTTCAAGTCATCAGGGGCCTCTGTGACTACACAGCCCACAGAATTCAAAATCAAACTTTGAGCGGGGGAGCGAGACAGCCAGACACGGGGGCAGAGGAGGGTGGCTCTGTTTCCCTAAACAAAGGTTGTGACCAATGGGCCATTGGCTGGGGGCCCCCGAGTGCAGGAAGGGTCACTGGGGGTAGAAAGCCTCCTCGCTGGACGGTACCCGCCTTTCTGTGTTGTGTTCTGCCTTGTGCTCTTCTGTATGTTAACATTTCCTGTAGTACGTTTCTTCTCTCTCCACCTCATCACCAAGGTAGACTTGTGTTGTTCAGAAAGTTTCCCCCTAAACTCAGCCCCAGATAGATTTTTTAAAATCTGGAAATGGTGCCCTAAATTCTCTGGCTGGCCTTCTTGTGGCCCTATAGAATGCAGGGCAGGGGCTGTTTGAAGGATACTGCTTTCTTCAGGGTGAGAGTTTGACTCCCCTTTCTCTTTTTAAAACTTTTCAAACAAAGTAGGGGATGGAAGCCCCTGCCATCCTAATAGGAACCACATTGGCTCAAAAGCTCTGCCACTCACTCTACTGGTCAGTGGAGATGGCCTAGGTGGGGATCAGGTCACGGGCTCCTTGTCCTCTCCCCGCAGTTGGCTTCAGACCAATGCTTTCTGGAGAGAGCCCTGTGGCAAGGGCAGGGTGAGGCTACTGCTCTGCTAGGAAGACTATACCCTAGCTCTTGGTTTGGGGCACCCTACTGTCTCACTTGACCCAGAGTAAATTCTCGAGCTCACATTTCCCCTTCCCCTGAGTTGTGCCGAGTGGCCCAGCCCAGCTCTCTTGACCTTCTGAGTGTCACTGCTGGGCGGGGCTGCCTTGTTAGTCCCCCATTTCTCACCCAGCCTAGCACTTGTCACACTTGGTTTTGGTGCAAATGCCAGCTCTCTGCTAGTTGGGTTTTCAAAGGGTCTGCCTCCTGTTCTGTGACACTGAGGACCTTGGGGGTTATTTGAATAGGAGATGGCTTGCTCCAACATGTTTTTTTCCTGGCCTCGGGTTCATGCGATAGTCAGGGATGCTGAGAGGTGGCAAATGCCCAGCAGCCACCAGGGGGCACTGTCTCCACTACTGTGAGCAACCCATCCATCCTGACCAGAGGGGCATTTTCCTGCCTTGACAGGTGGGAGGGGAGCAGGGGGCATTGGGGAGGAGTTGAGAGAGCAGAGCAGCCTTTCAGGCAAGTGGACAGGTTGTTCCCTCAGCGTGGTTCCAGGCATTGGGGGCACAACTCTAGAACCAAAGGGGCATCCCTGAATACACCAGGACAGCATTACTCCAGGGGCGTTCATCCTCAGTTTCTTGCTGGTTTGGTGGGACTGTAGAGGGAATCCAGCTTAACAGAGCTGGCAAGTCTTGGGGAGCAAGATTCTGTAAGTAAATAATGTGAAAGGCACAAGCCTAGAAAGTGTAAGGGGGGCCTGAGACAGAGTCTCTCGTGGCCTACTTGGGGCCAGTCCCGTGAAGAAAACCTGGAAACTCACATTTCCACAGAGTTAGATCAAGTAGCAACGACCTAGGGTTTGAACTCAGCTCAGTCCTCCAGCTCTGAGGTTGCCCAGGCCTGGGAAGTCCAGGGAACGTGCCTGATGGTGGTCCACTTTCCAGTACTTTGAAGAAGGCTGCTTTTGTTCCCTTCTCCCTCTTTGAATGGGTGCAAACTAAGTTCTCTTCATCAGCTAGAAGACATTCCTCCTACACTTTCCCTTTCTTGACCCCAGAGAGTGTCCATAAGACACTAGGAGCTGGCTTCTCGGGTCTGGAGACAGTCAGATCACTGTTTGGACTCTGCGTTCAGTAGGGAAGTTAACTACGTTGCCTGTATGCCTTTATCCTCCCACTGGCCCTCTAGACCTTGTCCTGTGGGTAGCCATGGGGTCCATTGCCGGCCAGTGTTGCCCCCTGTTCCGCAGGTGTCATCATGGGAAACAGAAGAGACGGTGGTGGGCCAGTCCTTGGGTCCCTCGCCACCTCCCACTCCCCTGCATTCCCCGTCTGTCTCTTTTCTTTTTTTCCAAAAGGAGAGGAAGAGGCATTAAGGGATGGAGGAGATTATGTGTTACTTACCCATTTCTGAATAAACATTTGTTATTCCTACTTTGAGCTGTCATTTCTTAAAAATTATGTTAAAAAAAAAAAAAATTATGTTAAGGGGCCTCTTGGAATTTGGCACCAGAAAACAGAGATTTGCCTCTGCTTTGCTGCTCACCAGCTATGACCTTCAGACAGTTCCTCACAGGACTCTTTGAACTTTGGTCTCCACAGTTGAGAGAATATGAGCATGAATGTCTGGGAAAGACCTAGCATAAGAACTTAGTACCTCCTGGCCCTAAAGTGCCTCACTGAGTGTAAGCATGGTCAATTTGAACATAGTTAGGTCTATTCATAGGGAACAGGGGAGTCTATGTGTTGAAGTTACACTTATGGGTAAAATTTACCTCTTAGATCAACTATGCACTAGAAAAAAATTAGTTGTTGGTAGGTTTTTTTATTTTGTGTTAAAATATAAAGTTTATCATGTTAACTACTTTTAAGTTTACAGTTCAGTGATGTTAAATACATTCAGAGTTGTACAACCACCACCACCATCCATCTCCAGAGCTTTTTCATCTTGTGGAGCTGAAACTGTTTCCTTCAAACCCCAGCCCCTGGCAACTACTAGTCTACATCCTGTCTTCATGATTTTAACTACTCATGAAGGTGGAATCATAGAATATTTGTCTTTCTGTGACTTTATTTTCTTGGGCTCCAAAATCACTGCAGATGGTGACTGCAGCTATGAAATTTAAAAGACGCTTGCTCCTTGGAAGAAAAGCTATGACAAACCTAGACAGCATATTAAAAAGCAGAATCATTACTTTGCCAACAAAGGTCCGTATAGTCAAAGCAATGGTTTTTCCAATAGTCATGTATGGATGTGAGAGTTGGACCATAAAGCTGAGCGCCGAAGAACTGATGCTTTTGAACTGTGGTATTGGAGAAGACTCTTGAGAGTCCCTTGGACTGCGCGGAGATCCAACCAGTCCATCCTAAAGGAAATCAGTCCTTAGTATTCATTGGAAGGACTGATGTTGAAGCTGAAACTCCCAATACTTTGGCCATCTGATGTGAAGAAACTGATTCATTTGAAAAGACCCTGGTGCTGGGAAAGATTGAAATTGGGAGGAGAAGGGGACAACAGAGGACGAGATGATTGGATGGCATCATCAACTTGATGGACATGAGTTTGAGAAAGCTCCGGGAGCTGGTGATGGACAGGGAAGCCTGGCGCGTACTCCAGGCTTCCCTGTCCATGGAGTTGTAAAGAGTTGGGACATGACTGAGCAACTGAACTGAACTTCGACTTAGCATAATGTCCTCAAGGTTCATCCATGTTGTAGCATGTGTCATTTCTTTTTAAGGCTGAATAATACTCCGCTATGTGCATATACCATATTTTGCTTATCCATCTGGTGGACACTTGGGTTGCTTCCATGTTTTAGCGATTGTGAATAATGCTATGAACGTGAATGTACAAATATCTCTTCAAGACTCTGTTTTCAACTCTTTGGGTGTATACCCAGAAGAGGAATTGCTGGATCATGTGGCAGTTCTATTTTTAATTTTTTGAAGACTTAACCATTTTGAATTCCACAGTGGCTGCACTATTTTACATTCTTTTATGGGAAGATGGAATCGAAGTATTTTATCCCTATCCTTTCCACTAAATACAACTTTGGATATTTTATGTAAAACATAAGACTGAAAGGTGGAGAGAAAAAAGACTGGCTGGGGCCCCAGTGCATGACCAGCATTGAGTTCCCTGGGTTTCCTTTTTGTTTCATATGTGCCAAGCTGGGTGCTGAATAAGCAGACCAACCAAAAAACCCAAGTGAGGACCCGAAAAGGGATAGCTTAACAAGACAAAACTAGTAGTGAAACACCACAGGAAAAACTGGAGCCTCACCTTCATTGGTAAATGACAAGTTGAGTCCTAGACATGTGTCCTCGCTCAGTAGGCTGTATTGGGGGCACCCCCAAATGTGCAGGAGTGGAGTCAGAGAAGGCCAAACGGGGCTGGTGTCAGTGGAGGCCACAGGAGGAGAAATGGGAGCTGCCCCCCCCCCCCCCACACCCAGGTCCTCCCAACCAGGGTATTAGCAGAGGGTGGTGGGATGATGCAGCTCACTGCCACCCATAACCTGATAGTAATGAAGCAGTTCCTTTCTGTGCCCATTAGAGGAGGTGTGCTGTAACATTTAAATAAGACCCAGAGCTTTCTTAATGCCTGTTTCAGTCAAGAGTCTGATCAAGATCAGGAAAATTTCACCCTGAAGGAGAAAAGACAATGGATGTTAACTCCATGATGACAGAGATGTTAATCTCAATGAATGTAAAGGAAATATTTAAAACAATTATAAATGGGAAAGGGCTAAGGGATATCTAGAGAAGGAATGTTTCTGCAGTTAGAAATAACACTGATAAAATAACAGTATACTGTGGTAACTTTTAAATACATATATTTACATAATATTTACATAAAATAATGTTTACATATTTATGTATTGTTTTACATATACATACTGTATGTACTTTAATTCTTTATTCCAAGCATATGAAGGTTGGTGATGGACAGAGAGGCCTGGCGTGCTGCAGACCATGGAGTCGCAAAGAGTCGGACACGACTGAGCGACTGAACTGGACTGAACTGAAGGTTGGGCCCTGGGAGGACCGCGGGAGTGGACAGGCGGGTAATACGGACTGCAAGAGGCGGGCCTGGAACCGAGAGGGCGGGGCCCCAGGCGGCGCCGTCGTCACGGAAACGGCTACCAACTACAACTCCCAGCATCCCCCGCAGCTTCCGGTCGGCAAGATGGTGGCGCGCAGAAGAAAGCGTGTGGCGCGGGAGTCTGAGTCCGGGGTTCCAATCTTGCCCGGCTACTCAGGTGAGGGGGTGCGGGGCGCGAGGCCGGGGAGCGGCCAGGCTGCTCCAGGAAGAGGCTGAGGGGTCGTCAGTGGCTCAGGACCTCGAGGAGCAGTCGCACGCTTGGACGTGAGCCCCAGAAGGTTCTGAAGCCCCGGCCCCCTCAGCTCACGCGGTCCCCCTTACCGTCTGGCTTCACTTGGCTCGGGACGACCCTAGTTTGGCCAACGCTTTCCTTGAGTGAATCCGCCGCTACACTTTCCAGGGCGAACCTGTGTCCGTCTACATTCTCCGCCCCGCCGAGATACACCCATCCACTTATTAGCCCCTCGTTGCAATTCCTGGTCCAGCCCCCTCAGCGCTCACCTCGCCTGTTATGTGCCCTCCTCACTGGTTCTCCTGCCTTCTGTTCTTCACCCAGGTGCCAGAATGTTCTTTCTAAAGTCAGACTTAACTCAGATCTTGCCTCACACGCCCATCCCCGCAGAACCCTGTTCAGTGACTAAAGTTAGCACGTAAAACAAAATCCAGACTTCACATCTGTCCTATCCTGGTTCTAGCTAACCTACAGCTCTGTCTTTCTGTTTTCTCCAAGACAACAAGCTGTTTGCTCCCACAGAGTTTTTGTACTTATTGTCTTTTTCCTCTGAGTTCCTCAGACAGCTCTGCCCTGTTACAGGGCTTCGTGTCATTCCAGTCGAAGCTTTTATGTTATTTCCTCAAAGAGGTGGTCCTGATAGATGCCTGTCTAAAGGCCTGTGTCACCCATTACCCTGCACTACTTCACTCTGTGTGTTTCCTTCCTGTTTGGAATTCTGTTTGTTTATTTTTGGCTGTGCGGGGTCTTGGTTGCTGCTTGGGCTTTTCTCTAGTTGCCAGGAGTGGGGCTGCTCTCTGGTTGCAATGCGCTTCTCATTGCAGTGGTTTCTTTTGTGGAGCATGGGCTCTATCTAGGTAGGGCATGCAGGCTTCAGCAGTTGCCGCTCCCGGGCTCTAGAGCACAGAGTCAGTAGTTGTGGTGCACAGGCTTCGTTGCGCTGTGGCATGTGGCATCTTCCCAGATCCGGGATCCAACCTGAGTCTCCTGCGTTGGCAGGTGTATTCTTCACCACTGAGCCAAGAGGGAAGCCCCTGGTGGAAGCTTTAATGTTACTTCCCCAAAGAGGTGGTCCCGAAAGGCCTCTGCCCCCCATCAGCCTGCTCTACTTCACTCTGTGTTTCCTTCCTATTTGATACCACCTTGTTACATGCTGACTTGTTCTGTCTTCTCACTTTACCACGTGAGCTTCCTGAGTGCAGGGCTTGCACCTGGATCCTCTGGATCCTCTCTGTGCCCTAAAGAAGGTGGTGAGAAAGAAAGAACAGTCCTTAGCTTTTCTGAGGATTAAAGTTTATGGGAATGCTAGCGATTATCCAAATCATCACACACCAAGGGACTTAGAGACCGAGAGAGATGTTAAGAAGGCACAAAGCAGATAGATCTAACCTGGTATGTAAGGTTCTCCTGAGGAAGTGAAAACCTGACAATGGATGGAAGGAGGCGGGTTGATGTTTCAGAACAGCATGGGTGAGGCCCTGGCTGATTGGAGCAACAGAGAGGATGCATGTGGGTTGGAGAGGGGAAGATGGGGTGAAGAGAGGCTACACGGGGGACCGTGGTAAGGATTTGAGGTTTACCCCCAGAGCAGCAGAGTTTGAACTCTCTTCTTTCGCATCCCATTTACATTCTCTCTATTGCCGGCATTGGAGCCCCTCCTGCACAGATGATGTTCGTTCCGCCGCGTAGCCTGCACAAGCATCTTGCACAGGCCTTGCCTAGGAGAAGAGCTCAGTGAAGGATGGATGGGTGGGTGGACGGACAGACAGGCACACAGGACTAGAAAGGGACAGCCTGAACCTGACTCCTGTGTCATCCCTCCCCGTCCCCGTGTTCCTTCCAGCCATTCCGATAAAATTCTCTGAAAAGCAGCAGTCTTCTCATTACCTCTATGTGAGAGAGCACAAGGTTCGAGAAGGCACCAGGTCTTCCTGGCCTCAGAAGCGGACCCTTTTTGTCCTCAACGTGCCCCCATACTGCACAGAGGTAACTGGGTGTCTGGGAGGGATCCTGGGCCTGGGGCAGGGGCACCTGTGGGCCCCCCACCCCTCAGTCCTCAGTGGTGAGAGGCAAGCAGCTACCTGAAGCCCCGAGGGGCGGTGTCACGAAGTCTGCATCTCTTGTGACAGGAAGTTGGCTTTTTAAAGGTGTGCTTTTTTAAATATAATTCTCTAGGGAGCCCATAGCTTTTTATACGTTACCCAGAATTGCTTGAGTTACATGTTTTTTCCCCTGATTATAAAATTGATACATGTCCATTGCAGGTAGTGTTATAGTACAGCTGAAGTGTTCTGTTGCCTAAAGCAGTTGTTGCATAACTATGTCTGCCAAGCATAATTCCACCCAAAGACAGAGACACGTGAAAGTGAAAGTGTTAGTTGTTCAGTCGTGTCCTACTCTGCAACCCCATGGACAGTAGCCCTCCAGGCTCTTCTGTCCTTGGAATTCTCCAGGCAAGAATACTGGAGTGGGTTGTCAGGCCCTCCTCCAGGCAGACACTTGTTCTCAAACATTTTTTCTTGAGTATTGTGAAGGTTGTGCTAACTACTTGTGTGAAGTCTGACAACATAAACATTCTTTTGTTTTTAAATTGATACGTGTCCATAGTAACAAAATAAGAAAAGCAGGAGAAAATAAAATTACCTCTGAGTCTACTGTGCAGAGATTTCCCAGGAGGCGCTAGTGTTAAAGAACCCATCTGCCAGTGCAGGAGACATAAGAGACGAGGGTTCAATCCCTCCAGGAAGATCCCCTGGAGGAGGACATGGCACCGACTCCAGTATCCTAGTCTGGAGAATTCCATGGACAGAGGAGCCTGGTGGGCTACAGTCCATACGGTTGCAAAAAGTTGAATATGACTAAGGTGACTTAGCAAGCATGCACTACTGTGCAGACATGTCTATTACTTTTTTTTTTCCTTCACAAAAGTATTTCTTTAGTTTACAGAAAAGAAACTAAAGGAATTGCTGGATTTTCGATGAATTTTTTTTCAGAAAAGCAATATTAATTTCTAAAAGATTCCTCTGCAGCTAAAGAGAGAAACAGTGAGAGGGGAGGATGTCGTCTTTAACGTTTCCTGAGACTAGTGTATGAACAGAGAAGCACCTGAGCCCAAGTGTAGCGCTCGAGCACTTCACAGATTGAGCCAGTCTGTGTCATCAGCGCCCAGACTGGAACACAGCATCACCCACGGCCCAGAAATCCCCCTGCGCCCCTTCCTCCTGCCAAGGGTAGCCACCATCCTGATTCCAGCAGGGTAGGTGTAGTTATTTCTAAATGGCTGATTCAGGTAGTAAAACTTAATTGGTTGTCTTATAAAATCAGAATACGACTAAAAACATCCCCACCTATTCTTTTAGAGACTCAGGTTCGATCCCTGGGTCGGGAAGGTCCCCTGGAGTAGGAAATGGCAACCCACTCCAGTATTCTTGCCTGGAGAATCCCATGGACAGAGGAGCCTGGTGGGCTACAGTCCATGAGGTCGCAAAGAGTCAGACACGACTGAAGTGACTTAGCATGCATGCATTCTTGTAATAGTGGGAAAAAGAAAAGTTGAGAACCCACTCCTTCTTTGGAGATCCTTCAGAGAAATTGACAGGGGAAGAGAGAGCTTTCAGCCAGATGGCCTTTCAAAGGGAGCAGTCCCTTTCTGGAACAGACAGAGCATACCCTAGGCACATGCTCCAGCAGGGTCCGGTGGTAAAGCCAAAAAATTATACCTGAATTCTGTCTCCCCTCTGTCTCCTCCCTCACAAGTCCCTTTTTACCCACAGCTTTGAACACAAAGTCAAAAAAGGTAGTCCCATACTAACGCATATATATGGGATTTAGAAAGATGGTAACGATAACCCTATATGCAAAACAGAAAAAGAGACACAGATGTACAGAACAGACTTCTGGACTCTGTGGGAGAAGGCAAGGGTGGGATGTTTGGCGAGAACAGCATCGAAACGTGTTTGTTATCAAGGGTGAAACAGATCACCAGCCCAGGTTGGATGCATGAGACAAGTGCTCGGGGCTGGTGCACTGGGAAGACCCAGAGGGATGGGATGGAGAGAGGTGGGAGAGGGGATCGGGATGGGGAACACATGTAAATCCATGGCTGACTCATGTCAATGTATGGCAAAAACCACTACAATATTGTAAAGTAATTAGCCTCCGACTAATTGAAAAAAAAAAAAAGGTAGTCCCCTCAGGCCGTGGGGGTCTGGGGTTGTGACCTCAGTGTTGAGGAGGGGGTGGCGTGCCCAGGCCCTCTATGCGCGCCCCCCCCAGGCTGGACTCCGAGGCTCCGGTGTGGCAGGAGGCTCACCCTGCACTTTTCTCCACCCGGCAGGAGTGCCTGTCCCGCCTCCTGTCCCCCTGCGGGCCCGTCCAGTCGGTGGAGTTACAGGAGAAGCCGGAGCTTGCTGAGAGCCCAAAGGAGCCCCCATCGAAGTTCTTTCACCCCAAACCAGTTCCCGTAAGCCTGCAGGACCCGGGCCGGGCCAGTGAGGGTGTGGGTGGGACCCGAGCGGTGTCCCCAGCGTGTGGGGGAACGTGGCGTCCGGGGTGGCCGCGGCACTTCAGGGGTTGCCTGTGGTCAGGCCCATCCAGACCTGTGTGGTCTAGGAGGCCTGTCAGCTGAGCGGCCTCCACCGGGATTTGCCACGGCCTGGAGCTTCCCATCCGGCTCTTTGCATTTGTCTTGGGGGGAAGCTCAGAGACATCTCAGCTTCCTGCCAGAGGGACCTCCCCAAGCACCCCCATCGCTGGCTTCACCCCGCGGAAGTCGATTCTTCCTTAGGCTCGGTCACCCTGGTCTCCCTTCTCTGCTTCCGGCAGCCCACACCTCCTCCTGTTGAGGGGACTTTGCACTAGCGGGCGCCCCCTGCCCCATCTGTCCGTCCACCCCTGGCCCTGGGAGAGCACACCCTCCCCTGAGTCCCTCCCACAAGTGGAACAGGGACCCCCGGGGTCCACCACTCCCTGGTGAAGACGTGGCATCGGGTCACTCTTAGCAGAAGTTGTGTAGCTAGGAGTGTGGGTGCCCCACCCCCGGGTAAGAACAGCCCTTCTCCCCCTGGTCCTGCGACAAAGTCAGGCTGATGGCGGGTAGGGGGGCCCTGGGGTGAGGTGCCCCTGGGGAAGGCTCCGGCCACTGACACCTCTCCTCCTGCAGGGCTTCCAGGTGGCCTACGTGCTGTTCCAGAAGCCCGGCGGCGTGTCGGCCGCCCTGGCCCTGAAGGGCCCCCTGCTGGTCTCCACTGAGAGCCACCCTGTGAGGAGCGGCGTCCTCAGTCAGTACCGGGGCCCCGGGGCGGGGAGGGCAGCGCCTGCCCGTGCGGCCTGGCCCCGAGGGTGGGGGTGGGAGGCCCTCAGGGTGGGCAGGGGTGAGGGCACCCGCTCGCCGCCCCGGACTCTTCCTCAGCCGCGAACCCGGGCCCACCCGTCAGCATCCCGGCAGCTGGGCGGAGACCCTGCCCGGCTGCCATGTCCTGGGGGCCCCTGAGCGACGGGCCTAGGAATCCCCATCTTCCTCGCCCCTTCTTCCTCAGAGTGGATCCGAGACTACACGGACTCAGTGCCGGACCCCGAGGCCCTGAGGGTGGAGGTGGACGCCTTCATGGAGACTTATGACCGGAAGATAGCGGAGGTGGGGCTTCCGCATGGGCGGTGGCTGGCTGGGCCCCCAGCTGGTAACATCCAGTCTGAAACCGTCCTCTCAGGGGAAATGGTCTCTGGTGGGGCGGGCGGTCAGGGCTGTAGGGGAGCGGCGTGAGGGCACATGGTGCTGGGCGCAGAGGGAGCAGCCGGGGCCCGAGGTGCCAGGGTGGTGCCAGGCGTGGGAGAAGAGAGCCGAGAGGAGGCAGCGAGGGGCTCCTGGGGCCGCAGGGTGGCTCCCAGGAGCCCGCCCGTCACCGGGCCCTGTTCCTTGCAGGAGGAGGCCAAGGCCAAGGAGGAGGAAGGCGTTCCGGACGACGAGGGCTGGGTGAAGGTGACCCGCCGGGGCCGCCGGCCAGTGCTCCCAAGGACGGAGGCGGCCAGCCTGCGGGTGCTGGAGCGGGAAAGGCGGAAGCGCGCCCGCAAGGAGCTGCTCAACTTCTATGCCTGGCAGCACCGCGAGACCAAGATGGAGCGTAAGGGCGCCCCAGGGCCCTGTCCTTCACCCCCCTGCCTGCGTGCCTCGCTGTGGTCTTGTGGCCACTCTGCCAGCCCCAGCCACGCAGAGCTCCCTAGTCTGTTAGGCTGGGAGAGGGGTCCCGGGGGTCTCCCAGCACCCCCAAAGCCTTGCTTCACCTTGGGGTGCCTGTTGGGGGTAGGGGGGATAACAGGTGGTTTTTTTTTCTTTTAATTATTTGTCTTTGTTGGGTCTTACTTGCAGTGAGCAGGCTCTTAATTGTGATGCGTGGGTCTCTAGTTGAGGTGCCTGGACTCGGGTAGTTGTGGCATGAGGGCTTAATGGCCATGTTGCGTGTGGGATCTGAGTCCCCAGACCAGGGATTGAACCCGAGTCCCCAACATTGCAAGGTGGATTCTTAATCCTTGGGCCACCAGGGAAGCCCCGTTGACCTGATAAAGTTTGTCTGAAACCTCAGGCATGCCATCTTCTCCACTTCAGCCTGTGCCCTCTGACTGGGTTACGGCCCAGTTCCATTTCCTGGTAGTATCCGTCCCGTTTCCCAGCACAGGGGCGATGGGGGAGGCCGTGCTGAACGCCCACCCAGTGGGGAGTGGGGAGTGGGGGCTGAGGGCAAGAGCCGCTGTCCTCTCGAGTGGGGGCCGCGGGGCATAGCTCCCACCCGGCCTGCTGTCTGACCCCGGCCCTGTATGCCCTCCTGCCCTCTCCCCAGATCTCGCGCAGCTGCGCAAGAAGTTCGAGGAGGACAAGCAGAGAATCGAGCTGATGCGGGCCCAGCGCAAGTTCCGACCCTACTGAGCCTTGCCCGCCCCCACGGGCCCCGAGGAGCCAGGTGGTGCCCAGCTGGACCCGGGGTCCTGGAATACCTGTCTCAATGGCTGTGCCAGGCCGAGGGGCCCGTGTGAAACCCCAGAGACCTGAGCCCACGGGGTGGGGTGAAGGACAGAGTCGCCCATCGGCTCCCGTGTGCTTCGGCCATCCTGGGGCCCGGAGCGAGGACTTGGCCTCCAGAAGCCCCTGGCCTGGAGCTAGCCCCTTCCCTGTTCTTGGTCCCGTCCCTGGCCTGGCTCCGAACTCTCGTCTCCGGGCTGACTGTCCGCTGTGTTCGCCCCTTCTTCCTGATGGAGAAGCCCCTGTGGGCAGTGAGACGGCCTCACAAGCAGTGAGAATACAAGAACGTTTTTATTTTTCATCCAGCTAGGTGGCAAGAAAGGACTACAAAAGCCAGCTGGGCTATCCCAGGCCACATACACACCCGCTGCCCAGTCACAAAACAGACACCGTCCCCTCTCCCCGCCTCCGGAAGTCACAGATATTGCAGTCAGAATCTTACACCCGTCTGCACCCCCACCCCCAGCTCTGCCATAGCGCTCGCTCTGGCCGTGCTGGTCTTCGGGACCAGGGCCCTGGTCTCCAGCACGCTGGCCTGGGCTCGGGAGCTGGGAGTCCGGTGCTGAAGCTGGTGGCTGTGGCCCCAGGCCCCGGGCTACAGGGGGGCGGGGCTCCTCTCCTTGCTCTGTAAAAAGGAGCTGATGACATCAGCCACGAGCTGGGGTTGGTTCATGTGGACGTAGTGATTGCCCGGGACTTCCACGTACTGGAACCTCTGGGGAGGGGAGGGGACGTGGGATGAGGTGACCCAGTGGAGGGCCGCCTCCCAGCGGTTCCGTGTGTCCACAGCTTTGCCGGCCCTCGTCAGTCAGGGGAGGGGGTAGTCGGGCCTGGCTCTGAGCCGGTGGGAAAGGCCTTCCTGGGAGGGAAGTGCCCAGCCCTAGGGTTCTAGGCCACTCCGAGCTGAGGTTGTAGAGCTCAGCTGGGGAGGGGCCAGCAGTCCAGTCCTGGGTCTGGTCATCAGCTAATATTCACTTGAAGAAAGAACAAGCAGAGCCTTTCCAGCCTGCCCGGGAGAAAGGCCCACAGGGCAGGAAGGAAGACGCTGGACGCTGCCTGGCCGTCTGCTGAGGCCCCAGGGTCAGCTGTCTGTGGTGGGTGATGCTCCTAAAATGCCAGGTGTTCCCAGGAGCCCAGGCAAACATCAGAGTCACAGCGCCCATCCCAGCCCTCCAACTTAGGACCTGGTCGTCTGTTCCCATGAGACCCTAGGAGATTGTAGCAACACTCAGTTGGGTGTGGCCCAGGATTACGGGCAGACAATAAAACCAGGAGATTCTGCCAATGAAAAGCCTGCTTTCTGTGCTGATTTATGTGTGATTCCAGGGACCACAGTGGAACATGAGGCCTGGTAGCTCCTGGGGTTACCTGTTCGACCTGGGCCCAGAGCAGGGGTCCCAGTGTGAGAAAAGAGATGGAGAGGTGGAGCCCAGGGCAGCCTGGCAGCCCCTCCCGACCCCAGCTGCCCTGAGCCCTGGACACCCACCTCTTTCAGGACAGACTTAAGTGAGCTGGTCACGAACATTATGGACTCCCTGCTGGCATCATTCTCTCTCCTCACGGCATAATATCCTTCGGTTGCTCTGGAAGATGAGAAGGGAGGTTCACCTGGGACCAATCCCTGCATGCCCTGCCTCCGCCCTGGGCTCTAGGCTCTGAGACCAGCCCAAGCCCAGGCATCCTTCTGACCTTCCCACCTCCTGGCCCTTCGAGCCCAGGTTTAGTTCAGGGCTGAGGCACTCAGTCCCCACTGGCCCTCAGCTCAGTAAGGCCTGCACAAGATTCATCTCGGGACCTTCCCAGGGTCACAGCCACTGAAGGGTGGAGCCAGGATCTGAACGGGCTTCTGAGTGTATGCTTTCTCTTTTTTTAACAGCTTTATTGAGTTAATTTCACCCATTTAAAATGTACAGTTCCATGGATTTTGGTACATTCAGAGGTGAGCAACCATCACTACAGTCAATTTTAGATCCAATTTATCATCTCAACTGAACCATAGGGGATCCTGCAATGCAGGAGGTCCAGTTCCTAGGTCAGGAAGATCCCCTGGAGGAGGAAAAGGCAACCCACTCCAGTATCCTTGCCTGGGAAATGGCTGTGGACAGAGGAGCCTGGAGGGCTACAGTCCACAGGGTCGCAAAGAGTTGGACACGACTGAGCACATGCTGGATGTGGACTTGCAAGTGAATGGGATCACACAGTATGTGGACTTTCCTGACCGGCTTCTTTCAATGAGTCTAATGTTTTCAAGGTTCCTCCCTGTTGCAGTGTCACTGCGTCACTCCATCTTATTGCTGAAAACAGTCCATCGTGTGGATGGAGCCTATTTGCTTGTCAGTGAGCTGAAGGGCATCGGAGTTGCCTCCGACACTTGGTTCATTCTGTCATGAAGGACACCGCTGTGAGCCACCAGCACTCGCTGTGGTGTGGACAGACGCTGGGATCACACTGAGGAGTGGAACTGCTGGGTCACATGGTGATTCGAGGGCTTGAAGAACTGCCAGACCTTGCCAAAATGGCTGCGCCGTTTTACAATGCACAGCAGCCTGGCAGGGTTCTAGTTTAGCTCCTCCATACCCTCAGCAGCGCTCATCATCTCACTTGTGAAGTCTAGATGTCCCAGAGGGTGTGCAGCGTCCCTCCCTGGGGTTGGGATTTGCCCCCGTGAGTCCCTGCCTTCTGAACCCCTGTGCTCAGCAGACGTGTCCCTGGAAGGCACGGTTCCTGCCAGGTCCCAGGTCCAGGATGAATGCAGTGGAGCGGGGGTGGCACCTGAGCCCCCCCAGAAAGGATGTTCAATGGGCTGTGGAGCCCGGAGGCAGCAGATGGCCTCTGGCTGAGGATGGGAGAGAAAAGGACAGCAGATGGAGGCGTGGGGCTGGCTTGGGGATGCACGGGGCCTGGTGTGGCTGGAGGGTTTGGGAGGACGGGGCCAGGCAGTACTGACTGCCGGTCCCTCTGTCCCCCAGACACAGACACCTGTGGAAAGGTGTGGTGCCGTCCCTGCCCACCCCTAGAGCCCTCCTCCCGTCCCCCCTCCCCTCGCCTGCCTTCCACACACCAGCGACCCATGGGGCGGCTCCCAGGAAAGATGGCAGTGTGGTCTTATACCAGGAGACCTGGGCATTCCTGAAACTCAGGTCTGTCTGGGGCTCTTGGTTCCGACTTACTTGACTAACAGGATGCGGGCCTGCAGATTTTTGATATACTGCACAAGCAGCTCCCTGCTGACGATATCCAAGCAGTACTCTGGCTGCAGAGACAAAAAACCCCAGTGAATTTTCGCCATGAGGCCCCAGGCTCAGCTGTGGGTGGAAACCCAGCTCTCCTGGGAGCAGCGGACACCCCCCTCGGGCACCCAACCAGGACCAAGCCCCCTGCCTAGCCACATCACCACCTCAACAGAGGCTTCACCTCCCTCAGACTGCAGACTCTTGTCCCCATCATCATTCTCCGTCCTCCTGGGCTCATGGCTGCCTAGGCAGACGACATGTCCAGGCCCCCCTCAGCCAGGTGTGGCCATGAAACTACATGCAGAGAAGTGACCTGGGCCACTTCGGGCTGAGGTTTTAGGACTGAGGCGTGACACGGTAACCATCCGTGGCTACTGAGGGCTTGGCATGGGGCTCGTCCAGCCTGAGACGTGCTGTCTCACTGGATTTTAAAGACTTAGTATGAAAGTGAAGTGAAGCCGTTCAGTCGTGTCCGACTTTTTGTGACCCCATGGACTGTAGCTTACCATGCTCCTCTGTCCATGGGATTTTCCAGGCAAGAATACTGGAGTGGGTTGCCATTTCCTTCTCTAGGAGATCTTCCCAACCCAGGGATTGAACCCTGGTCTCCCGCATTGCAGGCAGATGCTTTATCATCTGAGCCACTGGGGATTTTAAGGACTTAGTATGAAAAAATAATGTCAACTATGTTGACTATTTTTTATGATGACTCCATGCTTTTATCTCCTCCCCGGAGGATCAGAAAGGCAGAGCAACTGTGTCACAGTCAGCAGCTGACTGGCTCCCCAGGTGGCTCAGCGGTAAGGAATTCATCTGCCGAGGCAGGAGATGTGGGTCCCTTCCCTGGGTTGGAAAGATCCCCTGGAGAGGGAAATGGCAACCCACTCCAGTATTCTTGCCTGGAGAATTCCACGGGCAGAGAGGCCTGGCGGGCTATATACAGTCCATTGGGGTCACAAAAGAGCTGGACTCGACTTGGGGACTAAGCAACAAACGGTGACAGAAGATGGCGGCGGAATCCTGCCGCCTGCCCCGCCCCGTTCCCCCAGTCTCTCAGTCAGCTCAGTCACTCAGTCCTGTCCGACACTTTGCAACCCCATGGACCGCAGCACACCAGGCCTTCCTGTCCATCACCAACTCCCGGAGTTTACCCAAACTCATGTCCATCGAGTCGGTGATGCCATCCAGCCATCTCATCCTCTGTCGTCCCCTTCTCCTCCTGCTTTCAATCCTTCCCAGCATCAGGGTCTTTTCTAGTCAGTCAGTTCTTCACATCAGGTAGCCAAAATATTGGAGTTTCAGCTTCAGCATCAGTCCTTCCAATGAATATTCAGGACTGATGTCCTTTAGGATGGACTGGTTGGGTCTCCTTGCAATCCAACGGACTCTCACGAGTCTTCTCCAACACCACAGCTCAAAAGTATCAGTTCTTTGGTGCTCCGTCTCTCAGCCTCATTTTAATCTTGCTTCTCCCACCAGGACTGGGACCCTCTGGCTTGACGGCCCAGGCAGGCACTCAACAGAATTACAGGCAGGTCCCCAAGGCAGACGTTGAGGATATCACCTCCATGCACGTCTCCAGACGTGAAAACAACACAGATCTGGGTTTGTGCAGTGCTTTCCTCAAAGGCAACAATATGAAGGCTCCAAAAAGCCTTTGAGGATAGCTGCTGGGCACATCTTATCTCCTTCTGGCTTCTTTTTTCTTTTCTTCTCCATCTCTCCTTTGACCTTCTTTTCCTAGTCCGCTTCCACTCCTTGATCTACATTTTTCTTTCATAATTCAAGTGTGGTCTTCCCATGTGGCTCAGCAGTAAAGAATCCACCTGCCAATGCAGGAGATTCAGTGGGTTTGATCCCTGGGATGGGAAGATCACCTGGAGAAGGAAATGGCAACCCACTCCAGAATTCTTGCCTGAAAAATCCCATGGACAGAGGAGCCTGATGGGCTATAGTCCATGGGGTTGCAAAAGAGTCGGACAACTTAGCAACTTAACAATAACAATCACTTCAAGTGTAACTTAAAGTGAAGTCCACAGACCTGAGTGTTACCTCATCATGGCCTCTGACGCATGGATACATGTGTCACGTAAGGATGTAACTGTGACCCAGATGGAGGCTGGAACTGCTCAGCAGCCAGCCGAATCCCTCTGGGGGTCTTCTCCAAGGACACCACCTGTTCTGACCTCCGGCTCCCTACATCAATTTTGCCGCTGTTCGAACTTCATATACATGGAGTCACAGTGTTCTTTTTGGGTTTGGGCTTCTTTTGGTCTGTATGTGTGTTTTTCACATATGAATGTGTGACAGTTTATTCATTCTATTGTTGGTAGACATTTGAGTGATCTCCACTTTGGGGCTACTAAGAATCAAGTTGCCATGTCTTTTGAAGCACACAACACGCAGCGTTGCCGGATGTATATCTAGGATCGAGGTTGCTGGGCACAGAATTCGCATATATTTTCCTTTAGTGGTTAACTGCCGGTTTTCCTAAATGGCTACATCACCTTATCCTTCCACAGTGTGGGACAGTTCTGCTTTCTCCACATCCCCGAGACTTGGTATTTACTGTCAGGACTTCGGTTTCGCTGCTCTGGGGCGGGTGTGGAGGTCTCTCCCTGGGGCTTTGATTGGCGTTGCCCTAAAAACTGACGGCATCCAGCACCGTTCATGTGCTCATCGACCATCTGGATGGCCTCTTTCAGAAAGGGTCTGTTCAAATCTTTCACCAGTTTTTAAAAATGAGGTCATCAGCCTCTAATCTTAATTAATTTTTAGGAGTTCCTTACATATTTCAGATAGAGTCCATCAGCAAACCTGTGTATTTAAATATTTATTTATTTGGCTCTGTCGTGTCTTAGTTGTGGGCTCTAGTTCCCTGACCAGGGATCGAACCTGGGCCCTCTGCATTGGGGGCACAGAGTCTTAGCCACTGGACCATGAGGGAAGTCCCCTTTTTCATTAATATTCTGTTTTTTTAAAAAATATTTATTTGTGTTTATTTATTTGACCGCACTGGGTCTTAGTTGCAGCATGTGAGATCCAGTTCCCTGACCAGGCATCAAACCCAGCACCCCTGCATTGGGAGAATGAAGTCTTAGCCACCAGAGAAGTCCCTTTTTTTTTTTTTTTTAAATATATTCTATTTTGATGAATAGAAATTCTAAATTTTATTTATTTTATTTTATTTTTTTAACTATTTATTTGTCTGTGCCAGGTTTTTGTTGCAACATGCCGGCTCTTTAGTTGAAGCATGTGGGATCTAGTTCCCGACCAGGGAACGAACCTGGGCCCCTTGCATTGGGAATGCAGAGTCTTAGCCACTGGACCACCAGGGAAGTCCCTAGAAATTCTCAACTTTAATAAAGCTGTATTTATCAACATTTTCATTGATTCATGGTCTGTGTATGTGTATTGTTCTACTTAAAACATATTTGTCTACCTCAAGGTCATGAAGCCACTCCCTAATTTTTCTTCTAGAACATTACTGTTTCACTCTTCATATTTGATCTATGATCCATGGTGAATTAATTTTTTGTATATTGTGTGAGGCAGGGACCTAGGGTCATACTTTTCCATCTAGATAACCCACTGCCCGCCCCCCACTGAACTGAGGTGGTGCCTTTATTATAAGTTGGGAAATCCTCATTCATAACTTTCATAATTAAATTCCTGAAGTATTCCACAAACTCATCCCAATATAATTTTTAACAGAAGTTGATGGCTCTAAACTTCATTCAGAAGGGAGACTATGCAAGAAAAAGCAAGAAAATGTGTGAAAGAACAAGGAGAGTGGACTAGTTCTACTATCAAAACGTATTAGAAAGAAACGGGAATTAGAACGTGTGACTTGATGTGGACAAAGAGATCGACGGGACGTACAGAGCAGGGACAGGCCCATCCTGGAATTTGTCTCTTCGGTGATTTAGTTTCTGCCCCAAGGGGAGTTTTCGCATCTGTGGGTGGCCCTCACTCACTCTTGGGCCCTGTGATGACCACGGCTCCCCCTGCAGAACAGCTGTGGGACGGTGGGCACAGTCCCCAAGGCTGGAAGGGCATTTCCAAACGCTCTCAAAAACAAACAAACCGACTTCCCTGTGGTCCAGCGGTTAAGAATCCACCCTGCAACGCAGGTGATGCAGGTTGGACCCCGGGTGGGGAAACGAAGACTCGACACGCAGCAGAGCAGCTCAGCCCGTGCACCCCAACGACGGAGCCCACAGGACACTGTGAGGGCTCCTTGTGCCGCAGCCAAGAACCGATGCAGCCAGATAAATAAGAAAGCGAATCGATACTCTAAAAAATGATAAACTGGCAAGGGTAGCACTACTACAGAATTAAGGGAAAAAACCCAAACTGCGCTCTGGGAGGGGGACAGCTGGGGCAGTGGCCTGACTCGGGCGCGGGGGGCCAGCCGGGAGACTCTCCCTGGGGGAAGGCTTCTCCATCAGGGCCTCCAGGACCCTGATGATTAGGATCAAGCCGTAAGCTCTACCTCACCCGCCAAGGACGGGCACTCAGAAGACAAGCCACAGAGAGGGAACCCCGCGGTGGGGTCAGCCCAGATTAACTGGTGGTGGACCCACTGGTGTTCCTCTGGGAAAGAAATGAAAATGGATCCCTGCTCCTGCATGGACTTCCCCAGTGTCTCAGCAGTAAAGAACCTGCCTGCCAATGTAGGAGACCTGGGTTTGATCCCTGGGTTGGGAAGATCTGCTAGAGGAGGAAATAGCAACCCACTCCAATATTCCTGCCTGGGAAACCCTATGGACAGAGGAGCCTGGCGGGCTACAGTCCATGAGTTGGACTCAACTGAGTGACTAAACAACAAGCAACAACCCCTCCATGCTTGAGAACAAATTCCATCTGGATCAAAACCAAAATTCGAACACTCCCATCCCCTTGGCTGATGCCCTGGTTCAGGCCTCACGTCCATGCCTGGGCCTGGGCGGACAGCTCTCAGCGGGCTCCCTGGGGCCAGAACGTCCCTCCTCTAGTGCGAGCGTCTCACAGTGTAGAGCATTTTACTCTCTTACACAGTTGCAGAAAAAGCATGTCTGCGAGCGCCGGAAGTGACAACACAGCGCCTGGTCACTCAGCACGTGGCCTTAGCCAGTCTTCCCACCAGCTAAGCCCAGGAAGGCATGCAGAGGGGCTGACACCGCCTGGCGGCTCACCAACTGGCTGCATGAGTGAATAAACGAGTGAATGCATTTTCTTTCTGCACACAAGACAACTTAGGCTCAGAGAGGGTAAGTCCCTTGCCCAAGGTCACACAGCCTCTCTGTGGTGGAGATGACTGAGTTTTTAGAGTACGCCTGTCACACACCTGCAGGCCTCCAGACCGCCTGCCGGTTTCTGAGGCCTTTGGTTTGCTTGTTTTTTGGCCACACCCTGCCACATGCAGAACTGCCCCAGCGAGGCATCAAACCTGAGCCCTCAAGTGCAGAGTCATAACCACTGGACCGCCAGGGAAGTCCTCTAAGGCCTCTTGTTAAACAGTCCCTCTCTCTCTCCTCTTTTAGTCTTCAAACCCTCCAGCAGGAACCCCCCTCAGATGCCCAGAACCGACTCCAAGGCCTCACCTGTGTGGTCACAAGTACCTGAGCATCCTTCCCTTCTCCACCCCCTCCTGGGGCCCACCTGTCCTAAGGGACTTCTGATCATGCCTTCCCCCAGCTGCCGGTTGGCTTGCCCCAAAACTCCTACTGCCCTTCCAGTCATTCCAAACCCATGTAAGCATTTGTCACCATTTGGCAACCCACTCCAGTATTCTTGCCTGGAATATCCCATGCACAGAGGAGCCTGGTGGGCTACAGTCCATGGGGTCCCAAAGCATCAAATATGACAGGTGAATGAGCACACCTGCATGCAGACATCTCATAAAGAAAGGCAGACTTCAAGCCAGTGTATGTTACTGCTTGCAACACACTTGTCAGATAGCATCAGACGTGCAATGTGTGGTCAGAAACCTTCCTGGCCCCTCTCGATGGCTGAACTCCTTTCTGAACTCACTTACAAATTTCTGGACTCACTTTCGGATTTCTGAACTCCTGAATTCCTGAAGTTGTTTCTGAATTTCAAGTCGCTGGACCTGTTGCATGGTCGACACCAGAATTCCCCAGTCTCTTTGGCACTGGCTACCAGTTACCTGGAAGATCGTCTTTTTCCGCAGAATGAGATGGGGGGTGGTTCCAGGGTGATCCAAGCACATTGCATTTACTGTACACTTTATTTCTATTATTACTACACCAGTTCCACTGCAGATCATCAGGCATCTTAGATTCCAGAGTTGAGGGACGGCNGGGCAGGAGGAGAAGGCGACGACAGAGGATGAAATGGCTGGATGGCATCACCGACTCAATGAACATGGGTTTGGGTGGACTGTGGGATTTGGTGATGGACAGGGAGGCCTGGCGTGCTGCGGTTCATGGGGTCGCAAAGAGTCGGACACGGCTAAGCGACTGAACTGAACAATTTTGGGGCGGTGACAACTGCACGACGTCATGAACGCATTTAATGCCACTGAGCAGGGCACTTATGCACGGTTTGCAAACGGTTATTTATCATGCTGTATACATACATACATATCTCTTACCACCATAGAAAAGGAAAGAGGTTGACAGGCACTGTGAAGGGTTGGGAAGACAGTAGCACTCACCAAAATGATCCTCCGATCTCTGTTCAGCGACACACCTGAAAGGAAGCACAGACACGTGGACTCAGCCTCGCTGGTCGAGAGTGGAGGCGGGTGGAGACACAGCTCGGTTCCCCGGGGACCCTGGGTCCTTCCAGCCAGGGCTCATCTCCTCTTCAGTCTGGGCTCGCAGGGACTACCCTGCGCACCCTCTCGGGCTTCCTCAGAGCAGAGCTTGCCCATAGCTACCCTGCCATGGACTGGAGTGGTCCATGCAGGTGCCTCCAGGCCATCCTGGAGGGAGTACACAGTGACGGTGGTGGTGGTGGGAACAACTACCCACCTGGCGTCACAATCTCATCTCTGGGAACCCCGAAATGTTCAGTGGGATCTTTATGTCCTAAGAAGTACCAAAGAGCTAAGAAGAACATCATCACTTGTTAGAAATCGAGCCAAAAAAGAAAGGTTATGTGTCGGAGGGAGGCCTGGGTGGTCCCAGCTCCATCTGGGTTCTCTGCCACGGTCTCTATGGGGGCCACCTATCCCCTGTGTGGCTCAGACAGTAAAGAATCTGTCTGCAATCCGGAAGGCCTGGGTTCGATCCCTGGGTGGGGAAGATCCCCCGGAGGATCTTGGCAACTTACTTGGAGGAGGAAATGGCAACTTACTCCAGTATTCTTGCCTGGAGATTCTCATGGACAGAGGAGCCTGGTGGGCTACAGTCCATAGGGTTGCAAAGAGTCTGTCATGACTGAGCAACTAAGCGCAGTCTAGAACAGTGACATATGACCCAGCAATTCCTGCCTGGGCAATGTCCCCTCAAGAAAGGGCTGCAGGAGTCAAGACGGCAGCCGCCATCAGCCCACTCCCAGCTATTCTGTCACAAGTGTCCATGTCCCCAGGGTGAGTCACAGCCACCTCATGCCTGCCTAGGAGACTCTCCAAGACCAATAGGAATTAAATCAACAGCTGGAAAAAAAAAGAAAGAAGTGGAAGAACATAAAAAGAGAAAGATAACTGCTGAAGAAAAGCACAAAGAATGGGTTCAGAAAAAAAATGAACAGGTATTTACAGTGGGAATTCTTATCCAGAACCAGCCTTTTATAACCCAATTCCATGGAAACTGATTCCTATGCCCCGCCCCCCCAAAGAAGTGAAGTATCTCTCAGGAAAGAAGGATAAGAGGCCGTGATAAGCCAGCCACATGGGTCATCCTCTCTGGTAGGGCATAAAGCTAGAAACAATCTTTGCCTTGGAACTCTGTGAAGAATACAAAGATAATAGATGTGGGAAATTACATACTTTTACCTGGAGCTATTTAATTTTAAAATCAGATTTTTTGTTTTTTTACTGCTCAGTTATTAGTAGTGCAACACTTTGAAGGATCATTGATAAGTTCAAGTTTTTGCATTTGTACAGGGAGTCCTTAGCGTTAATTGAGGACATTCTAAAAATGAAAACATTTTCATTTGTATAAATGCTTCAAGGTTGATCTTGGCGTATTGTTCAGCAAGATAAGTGACTGAATATCTAACAATCGTTTGTATTTAGCTTATATTAAAACTACCCTCTAATACCAATAAAACACTTTTTCATGTGTTCTTTCATACTAAAATAAAAATAAAAATAAATAAAAAAAAAAAAAGAAAGGGCTTTAGGGTGTCAGGGAGGGTACAGAATCTCAGAGCCTGGAGGCAGCCTGATCTAAATAGTGCAGGGCCTGAGTAGGGGAGAGAATGCAGTGACATGGGTCACCCCACAGACGTGCTGCCTGAGAGAAGCAAGGCTGTCTCCTTCGCACACGCCTTTGCGCAAACACCACGCTCCCAGCCAGGCCTCCGAGACCTTTCTTCACACCTGACCTCCCTGCACACATGACCGCAGATGATTTATTTCTCTCCCTTCTTCCCAGAAATTTCTAACGCGTTCTGTCATCTACCCTCTGTGTTTCTTTCCTCCACTAGGTCACAGCTTCCACGAGGACAAGGGGATTTGGTCTCTTTGTCTGTCCACAGCTGACTTTTCAAATGGATTTTTGCCTGCGCTGGGTCTACGTCGTGCACTTGACTTTCTCTGGATGCGGGGGCTGCCCTTCGCGGTGGTGTGGGCTTCTCACTGCCGTGGCTTCTCTTGATGAGGAGCGCGGGCTCACAGGCTCCGTTGCCCCTCGCCAAGTGGAGTCTACCAGGATCAGGGATGGAACCCGTGTCCCCTGATTGGCAGGCGGATTCTTAACCACTGGCCCACCAGGGCAGTCCCACAGCTAATTGTTGGTAGGGGTTCTTGGGCATGCGTGACTCAAAATACTTAGAAGGAGCATGTAATTGGAAGACTCTCTGGTCACTGCGCTACTAAATCACCGCTGTCTGATGTGGCCATGGCCAAGGCCTCTGGGCCGCCTTCAGCTCCGGCCACGACCTCCCTGCACAGATGACCGACTCCGCTGCGTGTGCAGGGCTGGAGCTGACCCCTGGGTCCCCTGGCCTCCAGGCTCTCTGCCCTCCTCCCTCCTCTAAGCCTGAGCTTCTGCTGCTCAGAGGATGTGAAAAGACTTAAAAGGGGGGCGTTTATCTTGGGGTTGGGGTGACCTCCAAGATACCGGGGACGCCACAGTGCGGTTTTCTCTGCCCTGAGGCCCTGCCCCTCCCTGAGGTCGTTTCCATCTCTTCCAAGCCTCGCTGCCAGCTGACACCCGCCCCGCCTGGGCCCTCCACCTGTCTGCTTTTCTCCCTGCCTCCCCTCTGACAGTGACCTTTGTGAGGGCAGGAACAGTGTTTCTCAGACCAGTGGGCCACAGCAGATGTCACTTAAATACGGAGTCCAAGTACCAGGTCCAAGAGCAAGTGGCCCCGGCATCCCTGGTTGTGAAAGAGACTGGTGTGTGGTGTTCTCTCAGTGAGAGTCCGATCCCACAGTCACCACGTGCCAGCAGCCCTGAGCAGGGCTTTGTGCCAATTCACCTCATTTAATTCCCTCAACAACCACACAGAGGCAGACGCCAGCATCTGTTTTACTGGGAAGAAACCAGGGAGGGTTGAGGTTGAGCTCAGCCTGGCGGCTGGAACCCCTCAGGCTGGCCCAGTCCCTGACTTGTGAGGGACGCCCCCCCACCCCCAAGGGTTTAGAAATCCCTGGAAAGTTGCATGAAATGTACATTTCATAAGAAAATAATTTTGAAGGCAGGAGGCGTTATGAGAACCCTAGACTCCCCCCTTTCCTGCAACAGCCAACAGATTGAGACTGTGCCATGGTGATATAATACAACACAGTTTTTAGTCCTGCTCTTTGGCTCCTGGCCAGAGCTCCTAAAAACTGTCACTTCCTAAAGCGGGAGAAATGCTAGGGGCATCCTTTGTCCTAACACTTGGTCTCTGACACAGAACTCCTAAATCTCTTGGGATTTCCTGGGCAATAGCCGGGTCTTTTGTTCAAATGGGGTGATCCTGGGTGGTTCTTGGAAGGCTTTAGGATAGGGGCTGGTTACCAGGAAGATCAAGCCATGATTAGGAGTTGGAACTTTCAGCCCCACCCTGGTCCTTCGGGGAAAAGAGAGGGACTAGAGGCTGAATTAGAGAAGGCGATGGCGCCCCACTCCAGTACTCTTGCCTGGAGAATTCCATGGACGGGGGAGCCTGGTGGGCTGCCGTCCCTGGGGTTGCTAAGAGTCTGACACGACTGAGAGACTTCACTTTCACTTTTCACTTTCCTGCATTGGAGAAGGAAATGGCAGCCCACTCCAGTGTTCTTGCCTGGAGAATCCCAGGGACGGCGGAGCCTGGAGGGCTGCCGTCTATGTTGCACAGAGTCGGACAGACTGAAGTGACCTAGCAGCAGCGGCAGCAGCAGCAGAGGCTGAATTAGCAATCAATGATGCGTGCCTGTGGGGTAAAGCCGCATAGAAATCTCTGCGTTTGGAGGGCTCACAGGAGGTGTTGGGAAGGCGGCGCACCACTCCCTTTCTCTGCTGGGACCTGCCAAGGTCACAGACTCAAACACCCATAGGAGCTGGGCAGAGTGGGTGCTGCGCCCACCAGCACATAGCGGGGTCTCCGTCCAGCTGCTGTTGCCTATGCGGAAGGTGTCGCCAGGTCTTTCCGCTTTTCAAAAGAAAACCTCCCTGATGGCCCAGCGGCTAAGACTCTGCTCCCAACGCCAGGGAGCCCCAGTTTGATCCTCGGTTGGGGAACTAGATCCCACACTCCACAGCTAAGAGTTCTCATGCCACAACTAAACATCCAGCGTGCCTCAACTAAGACCTGGCATAGTCAAATAAATGAACAAAAAGAAACTGGAACTCTCCATGTTCACACACAATCTTTCTATTCTAAATACAAGCGACCTATTCAAAATGCCCCTCATGTCAAATTTTTGTGCTTCAAGTGCACAAGTCAGAGCAAATCACGCTTGCAGCCCCAGGGCAGCCCAGCTAGTGACCGAGTCAGAGCTGCAGCGGCCGAGTGCGCCCGGGGCTGTCCGTGGTCACGAAAACCACCCGGAGCAGGACTCTCCCCACCCCACGCCAACTGAGCTTGTTTCCAGACCTGGGCCAGGGCTGTGGCAGGAACGCAGATAAGAGGCAGATAAAATCGGAGCTGGCCTCCCTCCTCACCCTGCTTGCTGCCTCCTGCTTTTCCCAGAAGCCCAATCAAGCTCCTGCCTCAAGCCTTTCCTGGAGGTTTCCCTGCATCACTGGGTTCAGAGGTCACCTTCTCCACGAGGTCCACCCAGGCCCTTCTATTGAAGAAAGCAAAGGACAAGCTCAGCCCCAACTCTGGCCCTCTTACTCACTGTTTTTTTTTTTCCTAGAGTGCTCTCATCTCAGGCTCTGGGAAGACTTGGGGAGAGACGAGGCCACACACGGGCCAAGGAATGCCTGAGGCCACCAGAAGCCAGGAGAGAGGCTCCGACGGCCTGTCACAGCCCTGCCAACACTCTGATCTTGGCTTCTGGCCTCAAACTGTAAGAATAAATGTCTGCTGTGTAGGCTGTGCCGTCTGTGGGGCTTTGTATCAGCAGCCCTAGGAAAGAAACACACATCCTGGGGGGTTGGGTTGGATGATGGGGGTGTGACCTGCTCCAGAATGCAGTGGGGGGCTGTCAGGGAGTCAGGACTCAGGAGGAGCCTGGAACACCAGCTCCCCAGGGTCACTCTGACTGGTTGGGTCTGGGAGGCTGCTTGGTCTGCTTTTAGGTTAACCCCGGGCCTCAAAGGGGCACACTACTGTGGAGGGGCTTGTCCCAACACAGCCATCCAGCCGCCTGCCCACTGCCCAGGATGCCTCTCTCGTCTGCTCCCACCTCCTTGACACCTGGCTCAGCATCTGCTCACCATCTCACATGACCCCGGGCTGCCCTAATCGGCTTCCCCAGCCTCGCCAGGTGCCCTATCTTATTCCAGATTAGCCCACTTCTGCCATCAGGGGAGCTGGAGCCCATAGGCCTCTGCCTTCCGCCTCCCTTCTCCATGATGGATTTGCAGGGAGGGACAGAGATGGTGACTGAGACAAGACCAGGCTGCAGACCCCTCAGGTATATTCCCCTTGACCTAAGTTGGGCTGGCAACTTCTGAGGAAAACTGCAGCACTGCAGGCACTTCCCTGGCAGTTCAGTGGTTAAGGCACCACGCTTCCACTGCAGGGGGCACAGGTTTATTCCTGGTCGGCAGTACAGCACTGTGCCTTGACAATGAGCTCCCAGACCCCTGACCAAGCTCCCTACAGGATGTGGCTTTCTGGGATGTGTGGCAGCCATCTGACCTAGCACAAGCTGCTTGGCCCTTCCGAGTCTCCGTTTCTCCTGCTTTAAATGGGATGAGTATAGGGCAGTGGGCATGGCAACCCACTCCAGTATTCTTGCCTGGAGAACCCCACAGACAGAGGAGCCTGGTGGGCTATAGTTCACGGGGTTGCAAAGAATCAGACACGACTGAAGCAACTTAGGACGCATAAGTCAGTAGGAGTATTAAAGGAGGTACTTTTGCAAAGCACTTAGGATCACGCCTGGTCCAGAGCAAGCAGCACTAAAGCTTACCCACTGTCATTCCTCAGAAAGGACAGTGCCCATAAGCGACAGGCTTGAAGAGCGAGTCCCTTACCCGTGGCCACCTGTGTGGTTCCTCTCTGCAGGAGATGCTTCCCACACGCCTCGTCCACGTGGCTGTTGTTTTTCAGGAACCTGGGGAAGAGGGGACACTGGATGCCTGGGGTGGGGGTGGGGGGCCAGGCGAAAGGAGAGGAGGGTGGGGAAAGGCCACTCGCCAAGGACACGTGCCTGTACCAGTGGGGATGTTTGCCTCAGTGTTGTGTGAGTGTCTGTGTCCGTGTGTGTATGGGTGCCAGGCATGGCAGAGAGCTGGTGGAGGGGTGGGGCGAAGGGCACGGCCACAGTGTCGGGTGAATGAGGGCAGACAAAGGCCCAGCTGGGGTGGCTAAGGAGCGCCAGGTGAGCGCACGAGAAAGCGGCTTGCTGCAGATTTGGGACTAGGAGCTGGAGCTTCCTTCAGGCCCCGCAGTGGTCCATAGCTCCCCCAGGTCTCTGAGCCCAGTGGTCCCACCCGCCACTCACCACTGCAGCATCTCTTCCGGGCTGACCACCTGCGCAGGCTTCCTGGAGGCCTCCACCTGCAGCACGTGCTCTATGGCCCTCCGCTTGTAGGTCAGCAAGTTGTCCATCTCCTAAATGCCCATGGGTTCTGCTGGGCGGGCCGGGACCCAGGACCTCGCCCAGCCCCACCCTCCACTCAGCGGCACACCCTCTTAGCCTGAGAAGACTCTGAACCTGAGAGAGGCAGGGCACCGGATCAGCCCCTGCCGGTCAGCCCTGTGACCCGGAGCAAGTGGTCCGCCTCGGTCACAGCCACCCAGCGCAGCCTGCAGCCCGGGAGAGCTGGAGGGGTCGGGCTGAAGACGGAGGGGAAGGGAGAGTCTGGTAACCGCCTAGTGCTTTGCGAAGGTGCACTATTAGGGTCCAATCGAGTGGCAGTTTCGTCTGCTCTAACTGACACTCTCATGCTACCTGGTGGAGAGGAACTGGCTGAGCGGGTACAGCCTGGGGGAGTACAGCGGGGCGTAGCTGGGCATTTCCAGCCCAGCTCACTCCCAGCACAGCCTGGCCTCGTCCAAGGTCCACTGCCTGGAGCAGCAATGGGAAGCGACACCCCCCTCCACCCCCGGAAGAGGCAGGAGACAGGGAGGAGCCAAGAGTCACCAGAAACTCCTGAGGAAGCCCCTCCTTCCCCCCACCCCGGGCACGGTTTGTCAGCTCAGTGGGTGAAACCAACACGGATGCCAGAGTGGAGGTTACCACGGTCTCGGAGATCCTCACTGTAACCCACGAGCTCTCCACTCACGCAACACACTTATTGAGCACTTACTGTGTGCCGGAACTGGGCATGTGGTGGTAAAGAGACAGCTGTGATTCTTGCCCTTAAGGAATCTGTGGGCATCTTATGGACAAGAAAACTGAAACTGAGGAAGGAGCAGTGTGAGGCTAAGCCCTCGGGAACAGAAAGACTCCGGTCAGAGCTGGAGGGTGCCTCCTCATCGTCTAGTCCAGGGAACCTCAATCTTCCTGGTACCAGGGACCAGTTTTCAGGGAAGACAAGTTTTCCTCGGACCAGGGCGGGGGGGGGGGAGCTGGTGTCGGAATGAGTCAAGCGCTTCACACGTGCTGTGCACTTTATGTCTGTTATTACCACCGCAGCTCCACCTCAGATCATCTGGCATCAGGTCCCAGAGGCTGCGGACCCCTGCCCTAGTCCAACCTCCTCATTTTACAGGTGAGGAAACTGAGGCCCAGAGAGGCAAAGTGACCTGCCCAGAGTCACAAAGCAGGAAAATAGCAGAGCCAGGACTCAGATACAGAGACAGCCCTGGTGGTCGTCACTGGTGGTGCTGGCAAGAGGGGTCAACGTTTTGCCCATCAGTCCATACTCAGGCCTCCTGTGTGCAGTTGTGCGGTGCGTGCACACCTCGAGGGCACTTAAGTACAGGTGGGCCCATTAAACTAGGGTTTCCTCAGCCCACTGCTCCTCCCCTCTCCCACCCCTGCCGTTGTGATCAACCTGGCCTTCTGCAGACTCCAAGCCACAAGCAGGGCCTCCGAGGATGACACAGGCCTGTGACCCTGTTTGCTGCCCACTCCGAGGGAATAGGTAGCACAACCCTGCCCTCGGGGGCGGGGGGGGACCCTGAGCTCTCTTATCCACCGTCTGCCACCTCCTCCTGCCTCCCTGGTATCCGCCAAGGGGGGCAGGGCTGAAGACACTACCTGGGACCCAGGTACCCAGCGACACGGGGTGCGCAAGACCCGTCCTTACATTCGTGTCCAGGACAACTGGTAAGGCCTCCAGCAAGATGAGTTTGTCCACCATCTCGGGGAAGATACAGGAAAACTATGATGTGACACGGAAAAAAGGAAGCATGAAGAGGAGAGGAAGGAGGAGAAGGACTCAGACTGTCCCCTGGGGACACTGGCGCTTGGGTGGGGACAGGGTACTGACCACTAGGCCACCGGGAATCTCCTACCCTTTCAGGGCACCTTTCTCTCCCCTCCCCCGACAGTCCACACCCAGCATCAACCCCGGTGACAGCTGGATTCTCCAGGGTTCTCTGCGACAGAGGGGATGGGCAGTGTGGAAACACTTAACTCCATCAGGAATGTCCTTACAATAGTGATTATCATGGGTCCTTCCAAAGGAAGCTGGCACAAACCACTAATGGGCTGCCTGAAACTCACTACCCCTTCCTCCTCTCCCCATCCCACTGGGAGGAGAGGCCAGAGGTGGTCACTGCAAAGCCATCTACTCACCATTCCACCCACAGTGCCACCTGGGGGACAAAAGAGTAGTTGGTGAATACTCCCCAGCTCTCCCAGAGTCCTACCAAGACTCCTTCCCAGAGGTGGACCTCCCCGCAGCCAGAGCCCCCAGCTCCTGTCTCCCACCAGCAGGCAGGGCTCTGCATTCACCATCAAACTTGAGGCTCCCTCTCTGGGGCCACGTGGCCCCTGCATCAGACCTGACTCTCTTTCCCTTCTCAAATCAGGAGACAACGGCCATCCATCCAGTTGCCTGAGGCCACTGGGCATGGTGCCCATAGGTCAGGGTCTAACGAACTCCTTTATGTCTCCTTGCAGTTCCCAGGGGTGCAGGAGAAAGGTACCTGTGTACTAGTCCTCTCCCTCTCAGCCCCACAGCTTGAGACCAGTCACATCCTGGCAAAGTGTACTCACCAAAACTGTGGCCCAGGAGGGAAAACCGGTTCCATTTCAGGGCTGAAAACACATGGAGCCAGGTCGGGGTGGGCCCAGCCTCCCCTGCCCTCAGCCTCGCAGTCCCTGTGCCCTGGGATGCCACTCAGGAAACCCCCTGAAAGGGCCCCCAGGGCCACCGAGGGGTTGGAACTCATGGGAAAAAGCGAGCTTTCTCCAGCTTGCGCAAAGTCACCCATGAGTTGCTGGCAGAATTGGGGCCAGACCCTAAAGCACTCTCAGGCCAGCGTTGCTTCCTGGCCAAAACACCCCACCTGCAGAGCACCTCCCCAGTTCCCTACTCCACCCCACCCCCAACCCCTACAGACAAACACACAGGCTCTGTCTCTTGCTTACCTGCTGCAACTCTCCGGACCTCACTCACAAAGTTTTGATGGTAATATGGGAAACCTTGGCTGTAGTGGGATGAGAGCCCATGACCCCCGAAGTCCATGGCAACATAATGAAAGTCTGAGACAGAGGGAGAGGGTGAGGGGGTGCATCCAGGTCAGCCATCTTCCCCACTCCTGATTCTCCTACAGACCTGCTGCCTCACCCCATTGGCTTCCCTTCAGCCCCCAGGCCTACCCTTCGGGAGAAGAGGGATGAGTCTGTCAAAGGAGTTGGCATTGTCCAGCCAGCCGTGAAGGCAGAGAACAGGGGCGGCTTGATGGGAGCCCCAGGCTTTGGCCGCAATGTGGCCCCAAGGAACAGCAAGCTTCAGCTCTGAGATGAGACCTGAAATAAAGGGAGCCAGATGTGGGTGTGGGGCTACCTGGAGGAGGGAGAGGCAAGATGGGTCTACTGGGTGAAGAAAAACCTTGGGAGGGTTTCACCGTAGAATTTTCTAGAATAAGTTGGGGGTGGGGGTTAGCTAGGCCTGGGCTCTGTAACTTATGGCTGTGCGACCTGGGGCAAGTTACTAAAACCTCTTGAGCCAGTTTTCTTTCCTGTAAAACTGGAGTAAACAGAGTAATAAGCAATGGCCAAGGTTTTCTAAGTCTTCGCGGAAGGCCCGATGGGGTGGCCCATCTCCCCACATCTTCACAGTAAGTTGGAGCACTCTCGCCCTCTTTTTCCAAACCCCAAAACTGAGGCACAGGGAGGTGCAGTCCACGCCCTAGGTCACACAAAGGCAATCAGGTGGAGCGCAGATCCAGAGCGGGCAGCGCGACCCCAGGCCCCTTGCCCTGACCCCCGGGGCACGGGCCCGCTCGGGTCCTGCTGCATCCTCCATCGCCAGGGCTGACCTTTTCACCCGCAGGCGCTCCTGGCCAGGCCTGAGACACGCGTGCCCCCAGAGCCCCCGCGAGCTTGCTTCTCTAGCTTGGGGCTCCCGGAATCCTGAGAGACCACGTGCGACCCGTTCTCGGGGCCCCACCCTCGCGCCGGTGGGGCTGGGCCTGCTCCGCAGGCTGCAGACCGAGGACGCGCTACCGCCGGGAGGGCAGCATGCCCACCCCGCTTCCGCGGTCCCAAACAGGTCGGTGGCCTCGCCCATCCCACTCCGGTCTAGGGAGCCCGGGATTGCGGAGCCTCACCCATCGTTCGCGTCCCAAGGTCTCACGGAGGCCGTCACTCCAGTTAAGTCTCGCGCCGGGCAACAGACACCTGCTTTCTGGCTCTGGCTACTCGGGGGCCGGCCCCGCCCCGCCCACCAGCATTTGTCCTCGCCCCAAACCTGCCCTCGGCCCCGCCCATAAATGGCCTGTCCGTCCCGCTCCGCCCCCGCCCACCAGCGTCTGTTCTCCCACCTCGCCCTCAGTCCCGTCCACCAAAGGCCTGCCCCGCCCCGCCCTCGGCCCCGCCCACCACTGACAGATTCCCACAGCCCGCCCACCAGTGCCCCCGCGCTCACCAATGACCTGGCCCGGCCCGGCCCCGCCCCGCCCACCAGCGGCCGTTTCCCTCCGCCCTTGGCCCCGCCCACCAATGGTCGGCCCCGCCCCCGCCCCACGTGCAGGACTTCCGGCGGGCTGGCTGGATTCCTGCAGAGACCTGGTCACCACCGATCGTCCTTGCCGTGGGAAGCCCACACGCGCCCACCGGGGGCTGAGCGCTTAGCTGCGAGCAGAGCGGCTGGGGAGCCCGCGGGCTGTAGCCAAACGACCTCCAAAATCTTGGGCTGCACCAGGGCCGTGTAGCCGGTAACAGATCCAGCTCTCCCTGACACGGGGGTGATGGGACCACATCCTTGCGCTATCGCCATGCCTTACCACCCTTACCCCTGCGCGGGAGCAGGAGCTGGAGAAGGCCCAGGAAGCTGCCCCAGCGATCGGGGCACCCCTGGGTCCTCTCGGACCCCCACTGGAGGGCTAAAGGTGGGGAGGCTCTTTATTTAGTGGCTTAACGTTCTCCTGGAAGGCGGGACTGCCTCCATTGTGTTCTCACGGTGTTCTGGGGTCTTCAAAGTGTCTGGCAGGAGCCAGCCTTAGTATTGGTTGTACCAGTGAACCAATGAATGTGTAAATTGGAAACATGGAGGAACCCCCCAGGTGAGGAAGGATTATAGACAATGACATTGAGCTTGGAGAGGATCAAGAACTCCAAGTCATGAAGGGGATATTTGGGGTACCAAATCCTATAATAAAGGCACGAAACTGCATCCTTTGAGCCTCTGAAAGTGACAGGTCTAGGACAAATAAGGGGGAATACTTCCTCTTTGTTTAACACCATTTGCTAGTTGGAAAGCCTAGGACCCTGAGGGGTCATGGCCCAGCAGAGCCCCTAACTGGAGCCCAGAATCCAGCCAGCTGAGGGCTAGAGAGAGACCTGTACCGTGAATTCTCCCTGGTGTGTGTGTGTGTGTGTGTGTGTGTGTGTGTGTGTATGGGAGGAGATCAGAGACCCAGGCTCTGAAGACAGAGCTGGTGGGGGACATGCTGGCAGCGGGTCACAGTGCAGGAAAAGGTGTTGGTGGCTGGACAGTGTGCATAAAAGTGAGGATGGGGCCGAGTGTGGAGCTAAGGAGGTTGGACCTTAATAAGTGGTGGGGGTCAGCTGGGAGCTGGGGTTGACAAGACCATCTCTCAGTGGGTACATGCACGGTGGTGTCCATATGTTACAGAAATGCTGTGGCCTCCTGGACGAGTTAAGCAGGGGTCACAGACCCTGAGGTATAGAAGCCATGGAGAGGGACATGGCCCCTGTGAAGAGGCTCCTTCCTCCACTGCCCTGAGTGCCACCTCTTTGTCATGGATGATGCCACATTTATACCTGGCACCAGGCTCCAGCCTGACCTCTGAGTGGGGACTTTTCTAGCTAGCACATTGACCTCAAATTCTCTTAGTCCAGGTGGCTCAGTGGGTAAAGAATCGGCCCGCGATGCAGGAGACGCAGGCAGACACAAGTTCAATCCCCAGGTCGGGAAGATCCCCTGGAGGAGGGCATGGCAACCCACTCCAGTATTCTTGCTTGGAGAATCCCATGGACAGAGGAGCCTGGTGGTCTGCAGTCCATGGGGTCCCAAAGGTTTAGATGTAACTGAAGCGACTGAGCATGCACGCACCCCTCTGCTCCCCTCAGTCCAGTCGGCCCTTCCCGCACAGACCTCATCCGCTGCCTCAACTCTGTCAGCTCCCCTCAGTCACCCCACCCCATCCTCTTCCTCATCCTCACATTCACATGTTGACCCGGATCCACAGCACCCTTTCACTGCCTGCCTGTGACCCCTCCCATTCCAGTGACCCCCTGGGCTGGGTGCCCATCACCCCAAGAAGACAAGGCCCCATGTTCCTTTGTCCAGGCCCCATGTTCCAACTCACACGTCCTGCCACCACCAGCTCCCCCTGCTTTATGGCCGCAGCTCTGACCTTTGGCATCACTGCCGGCTGGAGGGAGGTAGATCTCCCGCCTAGCACTGGAGACTGTCCCTGAGGCCTGCCTTCCCTTCTTCTTTTTAATGTTTACTTATTTGACTGTGCTGGGTCTTAATTGTGGCATGCAGGATCTTTTTTTTTTTTACTGTGCTGGGTCTTCGTTGCTGGGCACGGGCTTGCTCTAGTTGCAGAGAGTGGGGACTGCACTCTAGTTGTGATGCGGAGGCTTCTCACTGCATTGTTTGTCTTACTGGGGAGCACAGGCTCCAGCTTCATGGGCTTTAGTAGCTGCGGCAGTTGCAGTTCCTGGGTACCAGGGCACAGGCTCACCAGTTGTGGCACACGGCCTCAGTTGCTGCCCAGAGACACGTGGGATCTTCCCAGACCAGGGATCAAACTGGTGTCCCCTGCATTGTAGGGCAGATTCTTAACCACTGGAACACCAGGGAAGTGCTGGCATGCAGGATCTTTCTGTTGCAGCGTGCAGACTCTTGGTTGCAGCACTTGGGATCTAATTCCCTGACCAGGGATTGAACTCAGGCCCCTTGAGTTCATTGGGAGTCCGGAGTCTTAGCCACTGGACCACCAGGGAAGTCCCCTGTCTTCCTGCCTTTTGGGGCACACATCCAGCTCCAGGAACCCCGGGCTATGGGTTCTCTATTTGTGCCCACATTATCTCACTGCTGTGCCTTTGCTTACCCCATTTCTTCGGTCCAGCATACTCTTCCCTTTTGCCTTGCCATTGAAATCCTACCCTTCTTTCAAAGCATGGTTCGAAAGTCACCTGCTCCAGGAAGCCCTCTTCAGTCCTTGCAGGTGAGACGCATATCTCCCCCCTCTTGTTTTTGCTGCGGGTGTACCACCTCTCACCCCCTGTATGGTGTTGTATTCAACTGGGTCCACTCCCTAGATGTCAGCTTCTAAAATTAGAAAAGGTCTTACTCAACTCTGTTTTCCCGTTTTAGCATCTACCAGAGCACCTTGCACACAGTAGAAGCTCAATCAACGTTTGCCAATTGAATTGGCTGAGAATTACAAAGAACATTTCCTCCCAGCCTGTCCCCCTGGACTCACAAAAGCAACAGCCCAGAGTGGGGTAAGTCAGGGAGTAATTCTTAAGGTCTTGTGTCCTTACTACCTTGGTTACATTCCTCAGGTTAGAATGCTGTCCACATCCAGAGAGGCGGGAAGGTATTAAAAGAGGCAGAAATGTTCCCAGGAGTTCCTAGTCCATCAGCAAGGGGAAATTTCCCATGGTTAAGTTTACGAAATAAAGGCAATCTCTGACAGTAAATGTAGTGTGGTATCCTGGATCGGATCTTGCAACAGGAAAGGGACATTCTTGGAAAAACTAGAAAACTCTGAAATCTAGAGTTTAGTTCATAGTAACATCCTAATGTTAATTTCTGCCTTTGTATCATGGTTATTCGAGGTGTTTACATCACAGGGAGCTAGGTGAAGGACATAGAAGAAATTCTGTACTATCTCTGCAGCTTTTTCTGTGAATTAAAATTATACCCAAACTTAAGAGTTCCACTAAAAAACCAAAAACCTGACAAGAACACTTGATTTATAATTTAGATATGATTAAATGCATAAGGGAATAGCAAGTATGTTGCACTGTGAAATGTTGTCAGCCTTTATTAACAAGCCTGTTTTGCTCTGTTCCAACTTGCTTTAACTTAAAAAAATTTGTTTCCTTGTATCCTATTCACCAAATTTAAAGCTTTAAGCGTTTTTTTGTTTTTTTGGGTGGGGGGAGTTTCGTCTCAAGGCATACAGAATCTTAGTTCCTGACCAGGGATCAAACCCATGCCCCTAAAAGTGGAAGCATGGCATCTTAACCACTGGACCACCAGGGAAATCCCCTAGAGCTTTACACTTCTAAAGATGATTTTAGCTATGTCCTATACAATTTGACGTTGTGCATTTTCCATCTCATTGAGTTATGTGTATTTAAGTTTTTTGAAGCGACAAGGCACTCCTGTTGTTCAAAGAAGGAACACCCTAGAAGGTATGCAGTGGAGTATCTTGTTTTTACCCCATCCTTGGCCAACCCACTCTTACCACTCAATTCAGGAAACTTCTATTAATTTCTTAGTATTCCTCAGTGTGTGTGTGTTTTTTTTTAATGTACATGTGGGCAAATCTTTCCCACTTTTCCCATGATGTTGCTAGATGTTTCCACATTGCCAGACTGTCCCATGCTGCACTGCACCTGTGCTGGACAAGCCTGCCTGCTCCCCTCTGGCCTTGACAGAGGAGGCCAGTTGCCAGCTTTTGAATTGCAGGGTGCTTATAATTAGAATTTCTCTCTTGGTTTAAGTGGGCTTGATTTTTTTTTTATGAACCTCAGGGCCATTTGTGTTTTTAAATGTCCTTTCTCTACTTTTTCCCAGATTCTTAGAACTCAACTATTAGAGAGATTAGTTCTTTCTCTGTGATGTGAGTTGCATATGTTTTCCCCAAATGTCTTCCATTTGACTTATGAGTGTATTCATCGGTTGAATCGGTCAGTCTTCTTTTACTCTTCTAGTTTTGAGTCATCCCCAGCAAAGCCTTTGTCACTGTCTTGGTGCAGACGGTTACACGGCAGTAGGTTACTAGAACAGCTGTGGCACATGAAAAGAGTTTGAGGATTTGTTTGTTGAATGAATTAACACAGGAAAGAATAAGGAATGGTGCATAACCTCAGGAAGCAAGGGCCCCTGAAGAATTGTACTTTTCTTTTTAGCTTCTCAGATGCAGTGCCCATGGGAAGCTCCAGGATTTTCGGGGCCTCTGGTGTCCAGTTTTATGGGTCAGGCTCTGGGGGATGTTGCTAGTATCTTATTCGCAGTCCACTGTGGGTCAGTTTAGTTTCACACCGTTAGAGATGTCCCACTGTACACAAACGCATGCCCAGTTGCTAGGGCCCTGACCGAGGGTGACCCGCTAGGGCTCAGCCTCAGGACAGACCCCTGCCCTCTCCCCCACCACCCCACCAACCCCTGCAGACAGGGAGGGCAGGAGTGAGTGGATACGCACTCCGGAGGCTTCGGGAGAGCAGATCCTCTTTGGTTGGGGCCTGGATTCAGGACTTAGATGGTGACTTAGGGGACAGGGGGTATACCAGAGCCAACTGAAACAGTGACAGGCAGTGGCCCAGGCTGGTCGGCCTGGGGAGCTGGTGTGCTGGGGTCTCAGCGAGGGGGGCTTGATGGACCAGAGTGCCGGGTCCCGGTGGGGTGCCCAGCTGTGGGTAAGCAGCCTCAGGGTGAGTAAGGTGGCCGAGGGCAGCTGACCCAGCCCCGAGGCTGGCCATGCACTCTGGCACTGCACCCCACGCAGTCACAAGAGCTGTCTGTGCCCTGCTGTCCTCAGCCCGAGCTGGCTGCGGGCCGGCCCTGTCCTCCTGGCCTGAACCACAGTGACCTCAGCACTCTCTGCCAGGCCAGCTGTTCCGCCTCCCCTCCCACTTCTGCCCGGAGGCCAGGTCTGACCCGTGTCCTTAGAGCCCGGAGGTGACTGATGAGACGGAGGGAGATGGCCCTGCCCTCTGCTTCTCCTCCACAAACGAAACCCCTTCTTTGAGGGACTAAACAGCCAGTTCCTCCTGCGAAAGACCCGCAGCTTCCCTTTTAGGTCTTTTGGCCCAGGGACTTTGGGTTTTCACTTCATTTCATTTAGACCTTGAAAGTCCCAAAAATAGACATTGCTGTATTTCTTTATTATTATTGGGGATCTTCATTTCCTTTTATTTAGACCTTAAACATTACAAATAGACATGTTGCTGTATTTATTTCTTATTATTTTGTTGGGTTTTTTTTTTACTTCATTTCACTTAGACTTGAAAAGTCACAAAATAGATACATTGCTATATTTATTATTATTATTATTATTGGGAATCTTCATTTCATTTAGACCTTAAAAATTACAAATAGGCATGTTGCTCTATTTATTTATTATTATTTTGGTTTATTTATTTTTTTTACTTCATGCCATTTAGACTTGAAAAGTCACAAAATAGTCACATTGTTATTTTTATTATTATTATTAATATTGGGGATTTTCACTTCATTTCATTAGACCTTAAAAGTCACAAAATAGTCATGTTGCTCTATTTATTTATTTATTATTATTATGTTGGACGGGTTCCACTTCATTTCATTTAGAACTTAAAGTCACAAAACAGACATGTTGCTACATTTTTTAATTATTATTATTATTTTGAGTCTTCTGGGCTTTCTCTAGCTGCAGCATTCAGGGGGTTCTCTCCAATTTGTGACACATGGGCTTAGTTGTCCTGTGGAATCTTAGTTCCCCATCCAAGGATTGAACCCATGTACCCTGCATGGGAAGGTAGATTCTCAGCCACGGATCCACCAGGGAGGTCCCTGCTTATTTAAAATAACCAACAAGGACCTACTGTAAAAATTAATTAATTAAGAAGTCATAAAATAGAGCTCATCCAAACCAACAGTTTTTTTTTTTTTTTCCAGACCAATAGACCTTGACTCAGTGAAACTAACTCTCCTTCCACACTCACCCTTCTGGAGTGATAGTCAAAGTATGCAACCACTTGCCAGGCTGGAGTCCACCTTAACCCTTTGTTTGCTGGGGAGGTCTGCAAACCATCGCTGGAGGGTCTTGTGGAGGCTCCTGACCCTTAGGTGTAAGAAGATCTCGGTAGCTCAAAGAGTGGTCCAACTGCACTGCCTTGTCACTACCAGGGTCTTCCTGTTGCCTCAGGTGAGAAAGGGAAGCTGCTTTCTTTTTCCCAGAATGTCTAACTGGAGGGGGTCTTAAGGTTCATCTGCCCCCAACACTTCTGTTTTCAGATTCATCAAAGAAACGTTTTGTGGGCAGGAGATTTTCCCCAGACCCTGTGCCGGGAGCCAGAGCAGAGAGACGTGTCAGGAGGCCCTCAGTCGGTGATGACAGGCGGGGTTAGATGGGGAGGCAGTACAGGCAGGCTGGGGGTGGTTGAGAGTGGGAAGGAGACGGAAGAGGTGGAATCAGGATAACTCTAAGCATTCTGACCATGGAGACGCATGTGTACAAATAGTACTGCTTGTGAAATTCAAAAGCCGAATGATCTAAGTGGCCATCAGTGAATATGAATGAATAAATTGTGGTGTATGAATTTGAGGAACTACAATATAGCAATGACAAATGCTACACACATTACCATGGATGAATGTTACAAACGTAATGGTGAGCGAAAGAAGCAAGACACAAAAGCGAATGACAGTGTAATACACTTTACAAGGAGTTCAAAAAAAGAAAATCTATAAAGTACATTGTAGTAGGAAGAAAAACCTCCTGAAGATGTTTGCGTCCTAATATCTGGAGCCTGTGGTTGTGTTACTTTACATGGCAAAAGAGATCTTGCAGATGCGATTAACTTAAGGAGCTTGAGGGACTTCCCCGGGGGTCCAGTGGTTAAGAATCTGCCTGCCCTGATCCCCTGAGGATTCCGCACACCGTATGGCAGCTAAGCCCACAGCACAGCTGCTGAGCCCTCATGGCCTGGAGACCGCGCTCTGCAACCAGAGCAGCCAGCGAAGCACAGCTCGGGAGCGGCCACAGCTGGAGGAAGCCCACAGGGGTTTTAGATACACAACACAAGACACAGGCGTCTCTTGTTCTGGAGCCCGCTCACTTATTTTGGGACAGGGTGATAGCCCATGTGGGCCTCTGCAGTGAGGCCATGTCTCCAGAAGGCTTCCCATTACCCACCCTTACAGTGAACAAGTGTAAAATGGGTGAGGGGCTGATCCAAACAGAGTCCTTCCACAGGGAAGAGGGGGTGTAGCCAAATGCACCAGAAACACATTCTGGGTGTTTAAACGAAGCCATGTCAGGGCATTTGTGTCATCACAGTATCAGCAACAGACTGCATTACCTATAGACACTTGCTGTTACCCAGAAACACTTGCCACAGAGACCCTTGCATTTCCCGGGACTAAATGACCCAGAGACCCTTGTTGCCACCCGGGCATTACCCAGAGACCCTTGCTATCAGCCAGGCATTACCCAGAGACACTTGCTGCCACCTGGGCATTACCCAGAGACCCTTGCTATCAGCCAGGCATTACCCAGAGATGCTTGAGTTGCCTAGGACTGCATTACCTATAGATCTTTGCTGTTGCCCAGGAAATACAATCCTGACAGACAGTCAGAGATCCTCTCACTTTGGACTTCTCTTTTTTACCAAAGGTTACAGTTAAGAAAACTGCATTCTAGGTTGTCCTTGCTTCTTCAAAATGTCGTTACAGCTTAGGCTCCTATATGGTCTTGCATGTGAATAACTGCTTTACCTTTTTAATCACAAGAAGAATAAGTTCTTGTTATACAAATTCAGATAGTATGGGTTATCTTTTATTAAATCGATTGTCTTATCAAGAGGTAGGGGAAAAGAAGATAAGCAAGCCAGCAAATCTCTAACACCTGATTCGTAGGGTAGACTAGATAAGACAGAGAAGGCTTCTAGCCCAATGTATGGCATGGGGTCAGCATTCAATAATATCACTATCCTCAAGCTGCAGGGCAGAGCTTGGGGAGAGGGATGGGAGGGAGGAGGGCTGACAGATCGTCCATTGTCAGCTGCCATTGTCAATTGCCAGAGTCAGACAGGTGAGCCCAGGAGCAAGAAATCTTCCCTGGGGCATGGAAGGAGCACAGAACAGGGAGTCCAACTGCATTTAGTTCCTCTAAGTCAGGTGTGGGACACATTTTCTTGCTGTAAAATGAAGCAGTGGTCTCAGAGTTCTAATGTTTTGGCATCCCCCAGCCAGGTTCAGGCACGCCTGTGCCCCGAGTCCTGCATCCTGCCCACCACGATCTCCACAGTCAAATGAGGTAGGCTCTTCATGGTTTATTAAGCAACCAGAGCAACACAAACTAGAATGCTTCAACTGCTACCATGTAACGAAGAAGTGGGATTTTCTTTCTTTTTGCTCAACAACCATGATAAAGGTCAGTTTGGCCTCTGCTACTTTATACATCAGCATCTCGCTGAAACATCTCGGGGAATTATTCTAGTAGGTTCTACATTCAGCACTGCTGGGAAGTGCTCTGGAGAGGGCTGCTTAACGTCTCTGTTGTCAGTTTCCCAGTTTCTTCGCAGTTGTATTTCTAGCCTGTAATTACATCTGGTACATAGCAGGTGCTCAGTAAATGTTTGTCAAATGAATAAATGCATGAACTCTTGGAAATGGCATACTCTCCACTCTCCCATGCCTTGGCATATGTTGTTACTTCAGTCTAGAAGCTCCTACTCATTGCTGTGGTTACCTCTGGATGGATGCCTAATTCACAAGAATTCTCCGTTGGGGAGATCTGTCCGCCTCCCATGCACACAGTCGCCAGGGTGGGTCCTGGGCAGCCTTGTTGGAATCTTGGACCGTAACGTCTAACTCTAATCTTGGACTCTAATTAGACCATGGCTAATTACTGGGTGGGCAGCCTGACCCAAGTTGAGCCAAGGTCTCTGCCCCGCAAATCTGTAATTGGGTTTGATATTCCAGCCTTAGTCTAGGCTTGTCTTCAGAATGGAACACATTTTTGAAAAATTAGGAGCTATGGTGTGACCATCATCTATCCTTGCAACCTCAGGAGCAGGAAAAGAAAACTCCAACATGCAGAGAACAGAGAAGGAAGCAGGCTGCCCTTAAGAAGTGGACGGGGTGCTGGGTGCCCTGCCTGGCATCCTCCGAGGCCTGAGGCCTCCAGGGTTCCTCCAGCCATCAGCTGTGAGAGCTCACAGCTGAGCTCTCCCCTGAGACGCACCCTTCACTGAAGGGACCTGCCATGCCCAAGGATATGACCTCCCTGGAGTAGTCATCTGCTAACGTCCAGTTCATGCTGGGGTACAAAAGCTTGGCTCCCTACCTCGATTCAGGACCACTCTGAAAGTCCATCCTAGCTCTTGAGCTCCCTGTGGAATTAGATGAGGCTCCCAGCAGGGCTTCCCAGGTAGCTCAAATGGTAAAGAATCTGCCTGCAAAGAGGGAGACCTAGGTTCGATCCCCGGGTTGGGAAGATCTCCTGGAGAAGGGCATGGCGACCCACTCCAGTATTCTTGCCTGGAGAACTCCATGGACAGAGGAGCCTGGCAGGCTAACGTAACGACTCCCAGCTGCATCAGAGTTCAACTTCTGCCCAGCCTGTCTGATTTGCTCAAAGGCCAGTTCCTGCGAGGCTGCTCAATTAGCTTTCTGAATGCACCAGTAAGAGACTCCGGCTCTGTTTCCCAGGGCACCCAACCTAAGACAAGAGGCTTTCAGTTGAAAGGGACTGGTGGCATAACCCGTGGTTGCTATGACGATACAGTGGTTCCTCCCAATAAGCATAGGCTGCTTTCTTGCTGCGAGTGCTGGGCTTCCCTGAATTAATGTTTACTAAATGGAACATAGTTTGTGGGAGGTCAGGGTGGTAATTATTTTGGCCTCCAGCATAGCAGGGCAGGCCCCGGACAGCGTCTCAAGGGAGGCCGAGTTTGGCCTCGGCGCCGCCTCCTATCTCTGAGTCTCTGGTTGCCCCCTCCCTAGCGCCCCAGGGTGGAGACGGGCGCTCCACCCAGCCCTTCCGGCTTTTCTCTTTCAACGGGGACTGAGGGTCCGTGAAATGCCTGGCTCCCGTCTCATTCATCTCGCCATCACAGTGCGCTGGAGCACTCAGAGGCTGGATCCTGTCTCTGATCCCTGTGGTGGGCGAACCCACACGCATTGACGAGCGCCCGCTGATTTTACCACGGTGGTAAAATCTTTTTTACTGATTTTGCCCTTGGCTCCTGTTCTGGTCTCAGGGTGTTCCCACGTCTGGTGAGGCTGCAGCTCAGTCTCCGTTTAGATTGTGGAAAGTCTCGGTTGAAGGTGGCCCTTCAGTAGATGCTCAGAGGCTCTCAGGTGGGCTCCAGAAAAGTTTATCCAAGCCCCTAGTGTTGCAACTGAGGAAACACAAGTATTTTAACCGATCCTGTGGGCCAGGATGGGTGGGTGGGAAAACGCTTTCCACCAAGTGAAGTTTGACTCAACTTGATTCTCTTGCCGCCCAGTACCGGCCGCCTCCCGCCCTTTGGATGGTTTCCAGGAGCGAATTTGCTTCTGAGAGAGACAGAGAGACACCCACACACACAAGAACGGTGTCTCATCCTCACCGTGCCCTCCAAACCCCGTTCTCCCTCCTTCTAGAACCCCTTCTCGGGCGGGACGTGTTTCCATCCTGGCCTGGAGACTTGTGTGACACTTTCTTTTGGCACAAGAGAACGTCCTGAATGGAGGGCATGTACCTATTCCCTGAACCTCAAGCTGATCCCACTAACTTGCCACTAGCTTCGTATGTTGTTTTCTATTAGAAAATTTACTTTAAAAAAAAAAGAATTTAGTTTTCCACGTATTACAGTTTTGGGGTTCTTGTTTAATCTCAGCTACTCCTCTTTTGATCTCCCCAACTCAAAAAACCTTCAAGCATTTGCTGAGAGTCTTGACCCATGCAGGATACACAAACACAGTGACATGAAGTTTTCTGTCACAGAGAATATACAGTATATTGTATATAACACAGTGTACATAATACTATATAAAATATATGTAATTCCATTGTGGCCACTGATTTTCCAGACTCTATTAAGTGCCAGGAGTTCTAGGACAAGTAATTGTTTTGTTTACTTTTTATTTTGTGTTGAGGTATAGCCAGTTAGCAAACTGATAGTTTGTGATGGTTCCAGGTGAACAGCGAAGGGACTCAGCCATCCACACACAGGTACCCATTCTCCCCGAGACTCCCCTCCCCAGGCTGCCACATGGCATTGAGCAGAGTTCCATGTGCTAGACAGTAGGTCCTTGTTGGTAACCCATTTTAAGTGTAGCAGTGTGTACACGTCCATCCCAAACTCTCCAACTATCTCTGCCCCCGATCCTTCT